TCAAATGGATGCAAAAGGCCCTTGGCATTCAACTCTGTAAAAGTTCGTATTTTTTGTAGGCGAGCACAAATCTGGCCCCAGCTTTCCTGCTGCAGAACAGGGCCCTGGAAGCAGCGGCCTCTGGCCTGGCATGGGTACTCAACACTCTCCTCCAACAGCTCCTTGTAACATTGGGATGTCTGCTGCAATGGTCTCTATTTTTTAATTTTTGTTTTAACTTTAGAGGACATTTATTATAGCTGGGGACAGTGCAACAAGGAAGGGCCGGGGAAATGAGCCCAGGGTGCTCTGCTTTAGCACACTAAGAAGTCAGAGAAAAGGGGCCTTGGGGCCAGGTTCAGGGGGTTTGCTTAGGATGAACTGGCACTGCCCGTGGCTGCCTGGTTGCAAGACTCCTGGGTCCCTTGGAGTCTGGGAGACGCTGCCTGTGGGGGAAGAAGTGTTGGAGTCGGGGGACACATGGGCCTGCTCCGGGGAGGGAGAGCAGGACAATGGTATATATTTTTATTCCTCACCCAAGGCCATGTTTTAATTGATTTTGTTTTAGACAAAGAGGAAAGGAAATTATCGCTGTGAGAAACATCTATCGGTTGCCTCATGTACTCACCCCGACTGGGGATCGAACCCACAACCTAGGTATGTGCCCTGACCAGTAATTGAACATGCCACCTTTTGGTTATGGGACAATGCTCCAACCAACAAAGCCACCCAGCCAAGGGTAGAATGGTATTTTTATATTCTGGCAAATACAGAGAAAGAATTCTATTTGGTGCCTAACGAATTTGAGTCACTCTGCCAGGTAGCACAGAAGTTAGGCACTTGCTAGCAAGCTTAGTCAGCATCCCAACATCTGCATCTCAACTGCAGTATTTATAAGTTTGGCAATTCCTTGAAATCTCTTTAGGTTTCTCCCATTTGTGTGTCTTATTTTGTGGCTAGAACTTCACTAGCCTAAACCACACACCACTACCCTTCACTGTCATTACACAGTCCATTTTAGATATTTAAATCAAGTCATTGTTAGCCAGTTATTTTTTCTTCAATTCCTAAAAATCATATCCCAGATATATTCAAATTCTGAAAATATCCAAATTTCCTAATAAGCAAATATATTCTGCTACATATTTATGCTAGACAGCATGTGAACTGGTGGGAAACCATGATCTACAATCAGAAAAAAAATAAGTGGCCCTGGCCAGTTTGGCTCAGCGGTAAGTGGCCCTGGCCGGTTTGGCTCAGCGGTTAGAGCGTCGGCCTGCGGTCCGGAGAGACCCAGGTTCGGTTCCCGCTAGGGGCACGTACCTTGGTTGCAGTTTGTCCCCGGCCCTGGTTGGTCGTGCGGTGGCAGCCACTCGATGTGTCCCTTTCACATCGATGTTTCTCTATCTCTTCCTCTCTCTCCCTCCCACTCTTTCTGTACAAAAAAACGGCAAAATGTCCTCGGGTGAGGATAAAAAAAAAAAAAAAGAAAAAAAATAAGTGGTCAAAACCACTACTTGATTCTACCTTAGAGCATCCATTGCAGCTCACACTTCTTCTCTGATTAGTAGCGTGGGCACATTGTCCTTAGGCTTCACCTGTGGGGTTAGGTCAGCCCATTCTTTTTATTTTTGTTTTTCTTTATTGATTTTAGAGAGGAAGAGGGGGAGAAACATTGATGAGAGAGAACACCGACTGGCCGCCTCCTCTGGGGATTGGGCCCACAACCTGGGCATGTGTCCTGACCAGGAATCGAACCAGCAACCTCTTGGTGCATGCTCATCCAGTGAGCCATACCGGCCGGACGGGTCAGCCCATTCTTAGGGAGTGCTACCAAGGGAATTCCAGTCTCATTTAGGCCACGATTTGAGAAGAGTTCTATAAATAATTTATCTGCTAAAACCTGTGGTTTATCTGATCCCAAGCTTGCATCATAGATTGAACCAAAAACAGGTACTCTACCCTAAAACTACCTTTCTTTCTCAGCAAGTCTGCACATCCTTACAGAAAGAATGGCATCATGAGTGTAGGCTTTGGAGCCTGCCAGAATTTGAATCCCAGCTCTTTGGGTTTTAGCTGTACGACCTGTGTGTCTCAGTTCCTCATGTGTAATAGAGATAATATTAGTACCTAACTCATAGATTGCTAGAAGGATGAGTTAATACTTTACCGCAGAGTTTAGAATTAAATAATTTAGACTATGGCATGACATGTGACGCAACCAATAAATGAAAACAATTTTTATTATCCTTAAATCTTTTAACTTTAAATTTAATTTCTTAAAAAATAATAATACAATGTTACATTCAATTCAGAATGTGATTGAGCCCATTCAGCCTAATTCCCAAAATGATTTGGTGCTTAGCTTGAGCTCCATCTGGTGGTTTTACTGCAATTCCCTGGAACACACAAGTCAAATAAAATGACAAACTTTCAAAAATATATTTTACTCATTTAAAAGATTAAAGAACGTTGCTGTACTTCTTAATTTATAATCTTTAGGAATAAAGCGACAAAGGCGTGATCACATCCCTGCACTCATTTTTTAATGCGTCTACATTTCCTGCCAAGTTCGAAGGTGAGACTCCTGCTGGCGGTGCCGTACTGCAATGAAGCCCTTGGCGGCCCCAGGCACAACCTACTGCAAGACCATCTTTTTTTTATCCTCACCGGAGGACATTTTTCCATTTTTTGTTCAGGTAGAGTGGGAGGGAGAGAGAGGGGGAAGAGAGAGAGAGAGAGAGAAACATCTACGTGAAAGGGACACATCGAGTGGCTGCCACCCACACGACCCAACCAGGGCTGGGGACAAACCGCAGCCGAGGTACATGCCCTTAGCGGGAACTGAACCCAGGTCTCTCGGGACCGCAGGCCAACGCTCCACCCACTGAGCCAAACTGGCCAGGGCAAGATCATCTCTTTTTAATAGCTTTCCAGAAGCTATAGGACACTTGAGAACATGTTTCCCAAATACATTTTTTGATAGTGATGTTTGATTTTTTATTTTGTTAACTTTAAGTTAAATCCTGACTGAACAAACTTCACGGCTAGGCAGACTTAAGTGAGTGAACCTACCTACACCATTATAAGGCCCTGTGTGAGAGCTCGGAGCAACTACCCGGAGTCAAATTAGAGGTTATCAGCAACAGAAAACATGAATGTATCTTGGGCACTGGCCTCTGACCTCAACTTAAAGAAAATCCAGTTAAAAATACCGAACAATGTTGCCAAAATATAAATAAGCACTAAGTGTGTAACATCACTGCTCCAGACAATTCTCGATAGAATAAAAAAAGGTAAATAACTTAGCAGTATATGTAAGATGTTAGCAACTTATTTCATGAATAAACATATATTTACCTTTTCCTCACAAACTGTTTGTTGTACATAACTATACCAAAAGGCAAAAAGGCATGAATGACATTTATTCTCTAACTCACATCTTCAATTAGCTTCTTTGAGAAAATTTATTCTAAGTATTGAAAAATTATCCAGTAACTTTTTGGTGAACTAATCAGAGTAAACTGAGAAAAGTCTATTATATAAAATAATTTTAAAGATTTTATTGGCATTAAGGATTATAGATTCAGAACTCCTAAAAGACTTGGGTTATGTCCTATTTATCTCTTTGTTGTGTCCCAGCCTAGCAGTTTGTCTGGCATGAAATTTGTGTCCTGATGACTAAGTGACCTTATTCTAATAGATTCCACTATTTACTAGCCTCCTGAGTAGACACCCATAAGGACAGACACCTTGTGTTGTCCCGTGTCCCTAGCACCTGGGAAAGTCCCTGGCACACAGTAGGCACTCAATAAGTATTTGTTGTTCCAGGGAACACATGGTCATGGTTAATATGATTACAGTGAAATTTCAGAGTAAATGCTAAGTTTAAATGGCTTAACTAAAAGAAAACTGAAATAAGAGTGAAATTAGTAAACTATAGCAAGACAGTCATCAAAAATTTCATTATACTAACATTTTCAACAGTGTATTCTATTCTTCTGAATACTAGTTTTTTGTTGTTGTTGTTTTGTTTTTTTATCCTCACCCGAGGACATTTTCCCATTTTTTGTTCAGACAGAGTGGGGGGGGGAGGAAGAGAGAGAGAGAGAGAGAGAAACATCAACATGAAAGGTAGACATCAAGTGGCTGCCACCCGCAGGACCAACCAGGGCCGGGGACAAACTGCAACCGAGGTACGTGCTCTTAGCGGGAACTGAACCCGGGTCTTTCTGGACCGCAGGCTGACGCTCTAACCGCTGAACCAAACCGGCCTGAATACTAGTTTTAATGAGTCAAAGCTAAATAAGTTTCTTTATTGCTAGATCTCTATTATACAATACTAAGCAAAATATTTTCTGTGTATCTTCAAGTATATAGCATTTCCCAAACTGATGTGACCATGAAATTGTTTTTTTCACCTCACAACTGGAAAAACAGATTCTGAGAAATATACTCTGGGAAATGTTGCATTAGGCTACTAATATAAAAACTGATAAATATTACACTAGTTCCCGGGATATGCTAGTCTCCTTAAAAGATGGATCACACTAACTCGTACAAGTTAATATTCTATCTAAAAATTTAAAAGAAGAATCTGGTCTTCTCTACTACTAGAATACCTTAAGGATATATGAAAGAAAAGATTCAAGACCTTTTATTATGAATTATACAAAGTCAGAACTCCAAACAAGTACTGCTTATAAGATCCCCTGGCACTGTATTTTAGCCCTGGCAGGTTTGGCTCAGCGGTTAGAGTTTTGGCCCGCGGATCGGAGTCCTGGGTTCGGTTCCCGCTAAGGGCACGTACCTCAGTTGCAATTTGTCCCTGGCCCCGGTTGGGGTCGTATGGGTGGCAGCCAGTCAATGTGTCTCTCACGTCGATGCTTCTCTCTCTCTTCCTCCCTCTCTCCCTCCTGCTCTACCTGAAAATAAAAGAAAAAAAAATGCCCTCAGGTGAGGATAAAAAAAAAGATCCCTTGGCACTGTATTTTAAAATAACACTATATATTTAGTTTTCTTGACATCTGAGTTAGTATAATATCATTTATCTTTACTAATACCAAAAACAACTGCTACCACATTAATACTTGGTATAATTTCGATATCTCATAATCCCTACATATCACACAGCATCTAATTAAAGTATCAGTGTAGCTTTCATTCGTCAAGAAAAATATTTTATTCAGTTCTCAAAACAAATCTGAGGTGTCATGTTGGGTTTGAACTGAAGAAATAGACCCAGCTAAAATATGGAAAGAAAGTTTTCATTTGGTGGAAGCTGAAATCAGTGAACATCTTCTAATCAAGGATCTGTCCCATATGTCATTTTTTGTTTTTAAAAGTCTACCAGGCCAGACCCTTAGCCGCCTTCACTGCCTTTGCGTTGCTTTTCCCCTTCCCTTTCTTTCGCTTTGCCTTCAGTCTTTTTCTTTGCCTCTGGTTCATCCAAATGGGGTACTGTCCATTCTGGTCTAGAAGACTCTTTTTGTTTCTCTTAATATCAGTCTCCATTTTCATGTCATCTGAATTAAAAAAAAAAAAAAAGGAAAAACTATGAATACTCACAAATGAAAAAACAACCTGCAAAAAAGCATATTAATGCAATGAGAACATCGGAAATGAAAGTGATCTGAAACTACAAAAGGAAAACCTCTATTTGTATACTGCTCCTTGACTAAGTCTGCAAACTCCTTACAACACTGTCAGTGAGCCATGTGTCCCTACAACCATGAAAGACAAGTATGTGTGAGGAAAGAGACATCATCTACTTAGTCACTGAGAAACTTTCTCAAGAATGTTGTCAGGACTGTCCTTCTTTGGAACAGTAAAGGTTAAACAGAAACCATTCAGGATGTATGAATTTTAATTACTATGTTAGGGATGAGTATATGGTTCTGAGAAAATGTGAGTTACAAGAACATTTCCTTTTTTTAAATCCTCATCTGAGGATATTTTTCCATTAATCTTTAGAAGAGGGAGTAGTGGGAGGAGAGAGAAAGAGAAACATTGATGTGAGAGATGCACTGACTGGCTGCCTCTCACACGGGCCCGAGCACGGCCCGATGGAACCTCAACTGAGGTAGTGCCTTTGACCAGAATCAAACCTGTGACTCTGGTCCGCGGGCTGACACTCTAACCACTGAGCAAAACCAGCCAGGGCACGAGAACATTTCTTAGGTTAAGTGTCTTCTTGAGCTAAATAAGATAGTGGAGCCAATAAGAAGTGTACCCACACTTCTAACGGACAGGCCTTTGAAGTAAATGAGCCAATTAGGAATGAAGGACCACTTCTAATGCCGTGAACTTGGAAGAGGAGGAACAGTAGTAAGCAGCAGGCTTTACAGTCGCCCTTTGCCACTCTGCACCCCGACTTTCACGGCTTCACTCTATCGTGGTTTTTTCAAATACTATACTATATTTCCAATACTATACTATATTTGAAAAAACCGCGATAGAGTGAAACCGCGAAAGTCAACTAAGTGGCATGGGATGACTGTGTATAAATAATCCTACTTAGCGGAAATTAATTTATTGTGGTAGAATCTGGAACTGATTAACCACCATAAACAAGGGCCGACTGTAGATGACAGAGACAGACAGAAAACAGAGAAGAAAGAATGGGATTTATACTGGGGCTACCACACTTTTCAATCCAGTTAACACGCAGAGATCCAGCTCTCCTAAGGAGACTTGGCAGGAAGCTCAGGGCAACCATGCCGTGATACATCCATCACCAACCTTATTTTTTGTGAAGGGTTTTGTGAAGGACATGCCCAGAATGTCCCTCCCTGGGAACTGACCAGGTTATACCAGGTCCTCCAGGATCTCTACCACCTAACAGTATATTAATTCATGTATCTGGTTTACTTTACTTTCTCTCTGTTTCAAAACAATGCCAATTCCACTAGAATGGAGGCCATATCTCTAATATTCATCATTATTTCCACAGTCCCCAGTATAGTGTGCCTGTTATATATTAGCCATTCAATAACTAGTTGTTGAATGATTATTTTAGGTGCTATTCCAGGTTCTAGGGGTACAGTGGTCCAAACAACCTCCTTGCTCTCATGAGTTTACAATGTTCTGTTGAGAGAATAACAAAGCAAACATCAACCTGCGGTAAACAGTTTTTTAAAGAGAGGTTCTGAACCTCTCTGCACCAGAATCGGATTAAGTAGGACAAGGTAGACTCAGGTAAGCACATGAAAAGATAATGCAGTGATTTAAACATGAGAATGATAAAATTTGGTTTATATTCTAAAAAGATCAGACTATTAGGCTAAAATGAATCAGAAGGGAACTAGAGCTGAACAGAGAAATAAAAAAGCTACTATTGCAGTTTAGCCAAGAGATGATGAGCTTTAAAACAAAAGCATAAAAGTAAGACAAAAATGGATAGATTCTTGGGAGATACTCAAGATGTGTTAATGATTTAGATGTGGGAGATAAAGAGGGATTAAGCGTAATGACTGAGTTTTATGGCTAAAGAAATTAAGTGGATAGTTGAAGGAGAAACATGAACTTGAAGGCAGATGAAGAACCATACTGAAAACAGGCAGATTACTAAATGGGGAGGCTGCCCACTCAGTTCCATCTCCATTCCTGAAATACACCAAATATTAGGGCAGCCAGACATTACCCCAGGCAGATGAAAGAGTTCCTCTCCGAGGATAACAGAAAAGAGATCTCTCACAACAAAACCTCCCAGAACCAATCCAATCTTTATGCAAGTCTAGCAGTTGATAAGCCCTCCTCCATTCTTTGCCCCCTCCCCCCAAGCTTCCAACCAACAAATATTTTAGTGTCTCACTTTTTTTTTTATCCTCACCCCAGGACATTTTTCGATATTTTGTTCAGATAGAGTGGGAGGGAGAGAGAGAAACATCGATGTGAAAGGGACACATCGAGTGGTTGCCACCCACACGACCCAACCAGGGCCGGGGACAAACTGCAACCGAGGTACGTGCCCTTAGCGGGAACCGAACCCGGGTCTCTCCGGACTGCAGGCCGACACTCTAACCGCTGAGCCAAACTGGCCAGGGCTGTCTCACTTTTTTTTAAATCCTCACCCGAGGATATTTTTCTATTTTTTTTTTTTTTTTTTTAATCCTCACCCGAGGATATTTTTCCATTTTTTGTACAGATAGAGTGGGAGGGAGAGTGAGGAAGGGAGAGAGAGTGAGAAACATCGACGTGAAGGGACACATCGAGTGGCTGCCACCCGCACGACCAACCAGGGCCGGGGACAAACTGCAACCGAAGTACGTGCCCTTAGCGGGAACCGAACCCGGGTCTCTCCGGACCGCAGGCCGACGCTCTAACCGCTGAGCCAAACTGGCCAGGGCGATATTTTTCTATTTATCTTCAGATAGGGTGGGAGGGAAGGAGGGAGAGAGGGAGACAGAGAAAGAGAAACATGATGTGAGAGGGACACATTGACTGGCTGCCTCCTGCACGACCTCAGCCAGGGACAAACAAACAGCAACCCAGGTACATGCCCTTGACCAGAATCAAACCCGAGACTCTTTGGTCAGAAGGCCGCGGCTCTACTGGCTGAGCCAAACCAGCCAGGGCTAGTGTCTCACTTTTAAATGTAAAGAAGTGCTGATCACCAGATAATGGAGACAAGCCTCTAATATGAAAGAGAGAGACAAAAATAAAGAAATAGGAGGGAGAAAGAGAACCCAAGAGGAAAGATAAACAATGCATAGAATAGCTCAAAAGTTTTAAAAGAAACTGTAATTAATACTCTCAGTGAGATCAGAGAAGGTATATATCCATTAAGAACCTCAGCCTATTAAGAAAGAAAAAGAAAAAATTTGGGAAATTAAACATCTACAAAACTAAATAACTCAATAAATGAACTAGATGATAAAGTTCAGAAAATTAGAAAGCATAACAAAGAAAACAGGAGAGAAAAGAAAATTAAAGGATAAATCCAAGATACTTGAAAGAACTTGAATGCAGAATATATAATCTTGAGATTACATATATATTATTTTTAATGTTTTGGATAACTCACTGCAATAAAATTAGTTTGAAACTTGTAAAAAAAACAAAAAACAAAAAAACAACACCTTACACCTCAACAGCAAAAAGACAAACAATCCAATTTAAAAATGGGCAAAGGATTTGAATAGATCTCTCCAAAGATAATATATAAATGGCCAACAAGCATAAGATGTTCAACATCATCAGTCATTGGGTGAATGCAAATCAAAACCACTTCACAGCCAGTAGGATGGGGAAATAATTAAAAAATGGAAAATAACAACTACTGGCAAGAATGTGAAAGAACGGGAATCCTCGTAGATAGTTGGTAGGAATGTAAAATGGTGTGAGATACAGAAAACAGTAAACGCAGAATTATCACATGACCCAGCAAGTCCACTCCTAACAGGTACAAAAACTTATATACAAATGTTCACAGCAGCACTATTCAAAGTAGCAAGAAGGTGGAAGCGACCTAAATGTCTATCAACAAATAAATGGAAAAAAACAAAATGTGGTACATACATAAAATGGGCTATTAGTCAGCTTTAAAAAGGAAGGAAGTACTGACACATGGTAGCACGTGGCCAACCTGAAAAACATGCTCAGTGAAAAAAAGAAACAAAAGGTCATATATCATATGATTCCATTTATATGAAATATCCAGAATAGGTAAATGCAAAGGGACAGAAAGCACGTGAGTGGTTGCCAGGGGCTGGGGGAGAGAGAAAGAGGGAAAGACTGCTTCATGGGTATGAAGTTTCCTTTTAGGGATATGAAAATGTTTGGGAAATAAAGGTGATGATTGGATAACATCACAAATGTACTAAATGCTACTGAACTGTACACTTTAAAATGTAACTTTTAAATTTCACGACATGAAATTTACTGCAACGACAAAAAGAGTGAGTGGGTAGGGGTGCTGTACATGTGAGGAAATAGAATCACAAGGAGAGCTGAAACAAAGCAGCAGATTAGGAGAAAAAGGAGATCAAGGAGGGCTTTTTCTTTCTTTTTTGAGATGGGACATCCCAGAACACATTTATTCTGCTACGAATGACCTAGCTGAGAGGAGACTTTGATAAAAGCAGGATGCATGAGCACAGCCCCTGAGAATGGAGAGCATTCAGAATACAAGTGGACACACTGGTCTTTGAGAGATATTAATACAAGAGGGAAAGCAGACCATACAAATTCTTACAGACTTGGACGGTAGGAAGATTAGAGTTTTTCTGTTGATTGTTCCTATTTTTCAAAGAAGTTGAAGTGAAAAGCTTTTTGTAATTTTCATTCATAGGGTGAGAGAGGGGTGAAATGTGAGAAGAAAATAAGAAACGATAATTGTGAAGAATGGGAAAGAAAATTTCTAGAATTGGAAGGTCAAGGATTGCTGCTCTTTTCCTTGACTACTGGACATCACATAAATATACTTCTATGTTAAGACCCTAGGTAACTGTGAGTGCTTATTTAGTTTGCTGCCAAAGTGGTGTATTAACCATGTGAAAACAAACAAGTCTTTCCCTGTACTGAAACTATTATATACAGCCCCCAACTTTAGACTATGATTAAAACATAGAGATCTCTAAAAACTATCCAAATAAAATACAGGGAAATGCTTTGATTTTCAGAATAATATAAGGGCATAGGATTCTTAGAATGGGAACTAGTTCTTGCAAAGGGTAAAATGAGGACCTCTTTTTATCCTGCCCAGTCCCTGACTGAATTGTGTACCTTCCAATGAGGGTGTCTAGGTTTGCCCACTCCTGTAGCAGTATTTCTGAGACACTTCAGCTATTGTATGAGCATAAAGGCTCACTCTACATTTCCCAAAACGTGCCTGTTCACATGAACTGGCTATACAATAATTTAGTATAGAATCTCTAGTAGCACTATAACCCTTCAAAGAATAACGTGGGCATAGTGGGAGGTTTGTTGGGAAACATATGTGGAAATAAATAGAAGAAAGGAAAAAAAGAAGAAGAGTCACAAAAGGCAACTGACACAATTTTTTTTTTTTTAAATGAAGCACATAAACTTACCTTTTTCATCTTTCACCACACACTGGGTTTTCTCCTCAGAATGTTTGGGGACCACCACAGTTGCTATCTCTTGAACATCTTTCATTAGAACATCAGTATCTACTTTAAGAATACTTTTAAGTCTGCTAAGCTCCTTTGGGGCATTCTTTTTTCTCTTTTCAGCACGCATCTTCCTTTTCCACTTACTCCGTAAGCTTTTAGCCATATTTTATCTGGCAAATTAACAAAGACACATAATCAAAAGCAAGTATTTACTACCAAAAAGGGGCAAATGCTTGAAAACCCAGATCAAAAGGTATCTCTTAAAAAAAAAAAAGTATCTCTACAAAACACAAATGGAAGGCAAAACTTTTTACTCTGTTCATGATTTATGATGGCTTAATGTGCAACTTATGTGAGAATCAACATGACCATACACAGCCGTTAAATAATTAAGAGCATCAAATCAAACTACTGTTGGTCACTGGCCATAAGTCAAGCCAATTCTGAAAGTTCCTGGTACTTCCATACAAGATGCAGAAATCTAATTTCCCTCAAAATGCAAAGAGCATCATCACCTTATATTTATGCAAAAACTTACAAATCAAAAAATGCTTTTATAAATATCTTTTTTAACTGAATCTTGATTTCATTCAATCCTACAGGATGCCCACCCAAGTCATCAGTATCCACCACCTCTTCACTCGAGCTATCTTAAAAGTTGTCAGATTCCACTCTTATTTTCTCTCCATCCCTTATTCCCAGTCCTAAATCCTCCACAAGGTGGTTAGTGAGCTCTTAAAAACTCAGAGCACATGATTTTCTACCTCCTATATTCACGATCTACAAGGTTATTTGTGATGACATGATTCCTTCAACTCTCTCCTCATGCTCCATCTCATCCCCAAGTACCAATTACATGTGAAAAAAATTAAATCAGTGATAATGCAGGGACAGTGGGGATGGAAGGAAGGGATTACAGATATTATAAAGTTTAGAAGGAAATCTTAAATATTTTTTCTTATTGATTTGAGAGAGAAAAGAAGGGAGAAGGAGAGAGAAACATCGATGACAGAGAACACTGATTGGCCCCCTCCCGCATGCCCCCCACTGGGGATCGGGCCCACAACCTGGGCATGTGCCCACGGGAATCGAACCAGTGACCTCTTGGTGCCTGGGTTGTCGCTCACGCACTGAGCCACACCAGCCAGGCTAGAAGGAAACTCTTGAGAGTGATTTCTAACATCATTTTAATTGTGCTGATGGGTTGGTTTGTCTAGACATAATTTAAACACGTGAAGTATACTGTGTTAATTATACATCAGTAACACAGTTATAGCAATCATTATGGCATGACTTGGGAGTGGGGAGTCCAAACTAGGTCCACTTCAGTGCCTTTACGGCTGCTGTCCTGTGCCTGAGAACTGATCTTCTCAAGGCTTGCTCCTTCTCTTCAGTACCTGAGAAGGAGCTTCTCTGAGCCTGTAAACGCCCCTCCTTTTATTTCTATGACGTGATCCTTTCCTTCCTTATTTATTTTCTGACATCCCGATGGGCTGTGAGCTCCACTTGGCAGGGGCTAAATGGGCCTTCTTCACCGTTAGATCGCCCTCGGAATAGCGCTGTGCACACAGCAAAGGTTAAATAAAGGCTTGTTGAATTAATGGCGGTAGAGGGACATTTTTTGGATGCCGGCAACCACAAACTCAGCTTGCCCCCTTGTGTACAACCACCCAAGCCCCGCAAACGGCGGGGACAGAGGAGTGTCGTTAAACAACCTTGAGGGCCGAGGTTAACTGAGCGAGACTGAACGATGAAAGACTCCAGTTCGCACGGAGCCCGGAAACGCCCGAGGGCCGCCACCAGGACCAGCAGAGACCCTCGCCCTCGAGCGAGGCTCGCGGCTCCGGGCCGGGCGCGTTTGCCCGGTGATGGGCGATGCTGCAGCCGCCTTTCTCCACGAGCGGCTGAACGGAGCCCCAAGTCCCACGCCCCACTGGACACCCACTTACCTGAACGGGCTCACCACTCACAACTCACACGCTCACGAAGACCGGAAGCCCAGGCACTTCCGCCTTCCGGGCCCGCCCTCTCCACTCCGTCCCGCCCTCCGGGCGCGTAGCACGCCGGGAGCCAAGAGTTCCGGAAAGCCTCCCGTAGAGGGGTCCCCTGGAGTTGGGCGTTCCGCGCTTCCTGCCCTTGGTGCACGTGCAGACCTCGGAGTCTGGCTCGTCCCAAACTGGTTCCCAAGATGAACTTGCAGGTTGCGGAAGAGAATCCCTGCCGAGGTTGGGGCGCCAGCCGGGCCTGCTTCCCGAGCGTGGCGAGGTAGCCCTGAGACTTGAACTCCAGGAGTGAAGTTGTCCAGCTGATCCTGCCCGTCAGGTAAGGAGCTCAGGCCGACCTTTAGCTCTCACGCTCACAGTACTAATGAATTTCCTTTGAGTGACTGTCCATCAGCGCTTCTCAACCTGTGGGTCGCGACCCCTTTGAGGGTCCAATGACCCTTTTCACAGGGGTCGCCTAAGACCATCAGAAAACATATTTCCGATGGCGATTCATAACAGTAGCAAAATTATAGTTATGAAGTAGCAACGAAAATAATTTTTTGGCCCTGGCCGGTTTGGCTCAGCGGTTAGAGCGTCGGCCTGCGGTCCTGAGAGACCCGGGTTCGGTTCCCGCTAAGGGCACGTACCTCGGTTGCAGTTTGTCCCCGGTCCTGGTCGGTTGTGCGGGTGGCAGCCACTTGATGTGTTCCTTTCACGTCGATGTTTCTCTCTCTCTCTGTTCCTCTCTCTCCCTCCCACTCTACCTGAACAAAAAATGGAAAAATGTCCTCGGGTGAGGATAAAAAATAATAATAATAATTTTTTGATTGGGGGTCACCGCAACATGAGGAACTGTATTAAAGGGTCGCAGCATTAGGAAGGTTGAGAACCAGACAGAAGCATCCTTCTAGAGGCCGAATTGATATCTACACATCCGTCAAAACTTACCAAATTGTACACTTTAAGTATGTGCAATTTATCGTATATCAGTTATAGCTCAAAGCTCTTACCAAAAACAAAAAAGCCTTTCCCATTCCAAAGACAAGTTCAAAGGGTAAAATAATCAAACTAATTCTATTCATCCAATGTTTACCGGGCTAATTAATGTATGCCAGACGGTGCTAAGCCTAGGACAGCTGTCAGGTGATAGTCACAAACACTAGTGCTTTTTATTATTTTACATATGCTTCTAATAGTAAGCTTTGGAACCAGACAGGTCTGTGATGTATTTTTGGTTCCAACACTTCCTTGTGATATTGGTGATCAATGTCTCAGAGCCTGAATATCCTTGTCCACAGAATAAAGCTAATACAACCTAATTGATCCTAGGTAGGTGATATGAGCTCAGTACATAGTAGCTTATCATTTTTACACTATAATTCAAACAAAGCATGGTACTGTTTGTACGTGGTGTTTTTTATTTTCTTTTATTATTTTTGTTTTGTTTTGTTTTGTTTTTAATCCTCACCCGAGGACATTTTTCCATTTTTTGTTCAGATAGAGTGGGAGGGAGAGAGAGAGAAACATCGACATGAAAGGGACACATCGAGTGGTTGCCACCCACATGACCCAACCAGAGCCGGGGACAAACTGCAACTGAGGTACTGCCCTTAGCGGGAACTGAACCTGGGTCTCTCTGGACCACAGGCCAACGCTCTATTATATAACAGTAACCCTAACTCAATACTAACCGCTGAGCCAAACAGTTCAGGGTGTAAGTGGTGTTTTTTAGAGACAACATACAACAACAAAAAAACAAGAAATGAATCATTTCATTCCTGTCTGGTTGCTTAGTAGAGTTCTTCTGAGACAATTTGTGGGTGTCTTTTTTTTTTTCTGTAAATTTATGTCCTTTTAGAAACCTTTCATCATATAAAAATTACTAAACTCAGAACGTATGAAGGTTTTCTTAACAGAGGCTGAATTACATCCCCAAAGCGGTACCTCCTGAAACCATCACCCTGGACAGATTTTGTGGGACACAAACATTCAGATCAGACCACTACAAAGTCTTAACCCCTAGTATCTAAGAATGTGACTGTATTTGGAGATAGGGTCCTAAAGAGGTAATTAAGGTAAAATGAGGTCACTAGGGAGCCCTAATCCAATATGACTGGTATCCTTATAAGAATGAATTTTGGACACAGAGAAGTACAGCAAGAACATGTGAAGACAGGGAGGATATGACTATCTACAAGCCAAAAAGGAGGCCTCAGAGAAACCAACCCCACCAACACCTTGATCTTGGACTGCTAGCCTTCAAAAGTGTAATAAATTTCTGATTAAGCCACCCAGTCAGTACTTCATTATGGCAGCTCAACAAACTAATACAGTGACGTAATTTACCAAAGTTTCACTGATCACTAGTTCACTGCTATAATTTTACAATGAAACCTGCACTGAAAAACACTAATGATGTTAAATTTTTTATCAAAATATCTGATTTTTTCTTAATACATTTTATAATGAAATGTCATTAACATTTCAACACAATACTGAATAATTCTCTGGAATTTATCTTTTTATTTTTTATTTATTTAATTTTTTTTATCCTCACCCGAGGATATTTTTCCATTTTTTGTACAGATAGAGTGGGAGGGAGAGAGAGGAAGAGAGAGAGAGAGAGAGAGAGAAACATCGACATGAAAGGGACACATCGAGTGGCTGCCACCCGCACGACCAACCAGGGCCGGGGACAAACTGCAACCGAGGTACGTGCCCTTAGCAGGAACTGAACCCGGGTCTCTCCGGACCGCAGGCTGACGCTCTAACCGCTGAGCCAAACCAGCCAGGGCTGGAATTTATCTTTTTAAATGTTTCCTTTATAAATAAAAAACCTCCTGGTAAAAGGAGATTTATAATTTGTATTGGTAAGAACACAAGCACGTTACAAGCAAAATAAAATCTAATGTTAATTAAGGGAAAATTTAGGTAAAATCACTAGACAAATTGATATTCGTAATCTAATCTACTTATAAAATTATTTTTGAATTGCAGATGAACAGTCTATGTATGGTAAATTTAGGATTAAAAAACATTTAAAAGAATTTTGATATCTCTTACCTGAGATTCTAAATCAAGGATTTAGAAATGAAAAAACCATAAAGGATAGTAAGATTTGTTACTAGTATATAACCTAGTAATTATATATTTAATATAACATCTTATATTATGTTATAATTACTGTTATATAATAGTAATAGTTATATATATATATATACACATACATATATATATAGTAATTACACTGTAAATCCTCATTTAATGTCAATAGGTTCTTGGAAACTGCAACTTTAAGCAAAACAACATATATAACAACCAATTTTATTGCCCCAACCAGGTGGCTCAGTTGGTTGAAGCATCGTCCTGTGCACCAAAAGGTTGTGGGTTTGATTCCTGGTCAGGGCACATACCTAGGTTGCGGATTCGATCCCTAGTTGGGGCATGTATAGGAGGCAACCAGTTGATGTTTCTCCCTCTTTCCCTCCCTCTAAAATCAGTAAACATTATCCTCAGGTGAGAATAAAAATTTTTTTATCAAAAGCTAATTAATCATAGGGTAATTGATGAAAACAAAAGTTAAGGTCCTATGGCATATTTCTGGTCACAGAAGCATACCAAACTTCTAAAGACCCAAAACACTTATAATGTTAAACATTAAGCCCTGGCCAGTTTGGCTCAGCAGTTGGAGCAGCAGCCCTGGGACCAAAGAGTTGCAGGTTCAATGCTGGTCAAGGGCATGCAATTGGGGTGGTGCAGGAGGCTACCAGTCAATGTGTCTCTCACATCAATGTTTCTCTCTCTCCCCCACCCTCCCACTCTAGATGAAAATCAATGGAAAAATATCCTCGTGTGAGGATAAAACAAACAACAAACACTGAAATAAATGTGAGCAATAAGTTTAAGAAAAAGCAATAAAAACAAGATCGCCAATTTATTTTCCAACCCGCTTTTTCTAGTTTAGGGTTGTAGGTGGCTAAACTCTACCCTGGCAGCTCAGAGCTCAAGGTGGAAACCAACCCTGGACAGGATGTCATTGCATCACAGGAAGCACACACATCCCCCCACTCACTCAGACTGGGACAGTTTAGACATGCCAGTTTGTCTTTGGGATATGGAAGGAAACCAGGGTACCCAGAGAAAGCCCATGTAGACGTAAGGAGAACTTGCAAACTGCACACCAACATTGGCCCTGACTAGAAATGGATTTTTTTCTCATTAACATAATGAAACGATGTTGAATGAAAATGATGTTATTTGAGGACCCGCTGTATGATAGTATAGTGATAGCTCAGACACTGTACATAGCATACAAATAAGAGTCTTTAATTATGTGTCAAACATTTTTTTATCAATTTATATATCCCACTTTCAGTCACTTTTTTTTTTTTTTAAATCCTCACCGATGATATTTTTCTTTTTATCTTCAGATACAGTGGGAGGGAGGGAGGGAGGGAGGGAGAGAGAAAAAAATCAATGTGAGAGGGACACATCTACTGGTTGCCTCCCACACGACCCTGACCAGGGCCGGGGACGAACCGCAACGGAGGTATTGAACCCATGACTCATTGGTCCATGGGCCAATGCTCTTGCTGAGCCAAGCCAGCTAGGGCTCACTTTTTTTTTAATATATATATATTTTTATTGCTTTTTACAGAGAGGAAGGGAGGGGGAAAGAGAAATATCATTATGATAGCAAAACATCAATTTGCTGCTTCCTGCATGAACTCTACGGGGGGTCAAGCCCACACCCCAGGCATGTATCCTGACCTAGAATTGAACCTGTGACCTTTCCTTTCATAAGACAATGCCCAACCAACTGAACCACATCAGCCAGGGTGTTTTCAGTACTTTTTATTTTATTTTTTTATCCTCACCTGAGGACAATTTTGCATTTAGAGGGGGAAGGAGAGAGGGAAGAAAAGGGAGAGAGAAGCATCAACTGGTTACCACCCACACGACCCCAACTGGGGCCAGGGACAAACTGCAACCCAGGTACATGCCCTTAGCAAACTGAACCTGGGTCTCTCTGGTCTCCGGGGCCCACGCTTTAACGCTGAGCCAAACCAGCTAGGGCTAATTTTTTTTTTCTTTATGGAGTTTTAAAGAGGAAGGGAGAAGGATAAGAAAGAATATCCATTGGCCTCCTCCTGTGTGCCCCAAAACTGGGGATCAGGCCCACAACCTGGGCATGTGCCCTGACTGGGAATCAAACCAGTGACCTCTTGGTGCATGGGTCGATGCTCAGCCACTGAGCCACACCAGCCTAGCTTTGGTCACTTTTTATTAGCTGCTTCCAAAAATCGCAACAGGTGCAGGAACAGATTGATGATATCCAAGTAGAGGTTGATGGTAGCTAATACATACTCCTCAGGTGACAGCCTATGCATCAGTGAGTGTGTGTCATAGATGATGAATCCGCAGAAAAGAAGGGCTCCTACAGCAGCCATGACCAGTTCCACTATCTCATTATAAAAAAATAACTGTAGGCAGGAGATTAAAGTAATAAGTTAATATTTAAGAACAATATTAAGCATATTTAAGTTACTTGCTCTTAAATTACATATACTACATACAGGGGTGGGCAAAAGTAGGTTTATAGTTGTGAGTACATGAAATACAAGAGTTTATTCTTGGATTATTATTTATTCCTGTAATACACATCTTTCCATACGAACAACTGTCAGCCTACTTTTGCCCACCCCTGTATATATCTAATAATGCTGTACAACTTTGAATACAAATGTTAAAAACAGAAAAAGGCAAAGCAGCTCTACCCTGGCTTCTGAATGGATAAATCAGTGGATATCCCCCTATGAAATTACCCAGTTGACTTTGAACAGTAGCACCCCAAATAAAAACTATTAAAAATTTTTTTCATGATTACATGTGCCACTCACGTGGAGATTAGCAATTACAAGTGAGAGCTAGCTTCTTTAACTCATTTGTTCATCATTCTTTCCATCAATAATACAGATTAACCTAAGACCTTAATTTTTCAAGAGATACTCTTATAATCATTCTATATACAAATGTTTCAGATAAGTGTAACTAAGTGTCCTATCATAAGAGCTTGCCTCTTACAGATTTTTGAGATAATTTATGTTGACATGGCCAGAATTATATTTTAAGTTATCATTCAAAAAAACTCACCTTCAAGATTCCTGACAAGCACAAAATCCACAAAACAGCAAACAACCTATGAAAACAAAATATTAATAATTTAGAATACTGTTCCTTACAAAAAGACTTTGTAAACTCATTCAACATTTTCTGAAGAAATAAATCCATCCTGATATTTGTCAAAGGATAATTTAAGAATTTATAAACATACAATGAATAATGTAGAATACCCAGAAATTGAAAAAAAAGCTATCTGTTCAACATTTGTTTTGTTTTGTTTTCTTTAATCCTCACCCGAGGACATTTTTACATTAATCTTCAGATAGAGCTAGAGGGAGAGAAGGAGGAAGAGAGAGAGAGAGAGAAACATTGATGTGAGAGAGATACATGGATTGGTTGCCACTTGACAACCCCAACTGGGGCCAAGGACAAGCTGCAACCAAGGTATGTGCCCTTGGGTGGAATCACCCAAGGACTCTTTGGTCCATGGGCGACGCTCTTATCGCTGAACCATACCGGCCAGGGCTCAACATTTGTTTTTATGGTGTGCAAAACTAATTAAGTGTCAATTTTTAAAGTTTTCAGTTGAAACGCCAAAGAAAATGTTGATATAAGTAGAAATGCATTAGAAGTATTTTAATTAAGAGATCTATACAACTTATAGAAAATATATGCATGGGTAAAAAGTAACTACATTTTTAGCTCTGGCCAGTTTGGCTCAGCAGTAAAGCGTGGGCCTCCGGACCGATGAGTTGTAGGTTTGATACTGGCCAAGAGCCCATACCTCGGTCACGGGTTCGTCCCTGGCCCCAGGAGGCAATCAGTCAATGAGTCCCTCTCACATCGATGTTTCTCTCTCTCTCTCTCTGCCTCCCACTCTATCTGAAGGTAAGTAGAAAAATATCCTCAGGTGAGGATTAAATAAATAAAAATAAAAATTGCATTTTTAAACCAAATAGCAACAAATTACTCTGTAAACATACATATCCATTAAAGTTCCCAATACTCATTTTATTCTGATGTATTATAGAACTTAACTATGTACACACATTTTTCACTGCTATAGTTTTATGAGTTACCATTCATACAAACATATCTATAAAGAAGGCAATTCTTTGTTATTAAATATGAGACTTGGAAGCCTGAATATACATCTGCTGCTTTAGGCCACAAGTAAGTGCAGGGGCCAAATTTACCCTCCCTCTTTAAATAAAAACCAGAAAAAATATATGAAACAAGTTTTCAGACACTGGACAGCAAGCAGCACAGGACAGTGATTCCTGATATAAGAGAAACACAAAGGAGATGAGCTCTATGACTAACCCAGCCAGAGAGAGTTTCTAGGCCACAAAGTAGGAACAGGAACCCATATGGAGCCTCGTGGTCAACTTAAGTATGAGAAAGATAAGAACTCAGAGTTGGGAGAGGTCAAGGTAGCTGGAATTTTCAGGGCAAAGTTCTAGAGAGAAGAGACCTATACACAGAGCTAGTCAGCTCTGATGACATGCAGAGGGTTCCTCTCAAGTCTTCAAGCCAAGTAGTGATTAATGCATACATGTGAGGAAGTGACCAAGGCTGGGAAAGAATCACCATAGAGAAGCAGGCTGAACAATCCTCCGAGCTCACACAGAACCAGGAATAGTCCTCATTCACACCAGCCAGGGTGGAAAGACCTCCTAGGACATGGGGGCTTTGAGTAGTCCTCAGAAGGACTACTCAACAGTAGAGCCAAATTAGCTTTAAACTGAAAGCTCTTCTGAATCTGCCTAATAGAGCTTAAAAACAAGATTCAAAAGGTTCAGACTATTCCCAAGGAAATTAGATGCTACCTAGAACAAAGTAAAAAATATTTAAAGAAACAGAAAATCTCATCACTCAATAATGTAAAATTTAGAATAACCAGCATCCAATCAAAAATATAAAGACGTGAAAAAAACAAGGAATTATGACCTGAAATGAAGAGGAGAAAAAATCTATCAATAAAAACAAATTCAGAAGTGACACAAAAATATAATTAGTAGACAGTGATATTAAAATATATACTCCAAGGGGGTAGAGGGAAGAATGCATCATCATGAGAAAAATGAAAAGAGATATATTTTTATTTATTTATTTTTGGTAGGTGCCCCTAGCGGGAACTAAACCCAGGACTCTCTGGTCCGCAGGCCAATGCTCCAACCGCTGAGCCAAACTGGCCAGGGCAAGATATGTATTTTTAAAATGCAAATTAACTCGGCCAGTGTGGGTCAGTGGTTGAGCATCGACCCATGCACCAAGAGGTCGCTGGTTCAATTCCTGGTCAGGGGACATGCCCAAGTTGTAGGCCCCATCCCCAGTGGGGGTGGGGGGGAGTATGTAGGAGGCAACGGATCAATGTTCTCTCCCATTGATGTTTCTCTCTCTCTCTCCCTTCCTCTCTAAAATTAATAAAAAAAAATTTTTAATGCAAATTAAACTAAATTTCCATAGATTACAAAATACAATATGTTAAATAAGAAATACTCTGATTCGGATTAACAACAGATTAGACACTAAAAAAGATTATCGAACTTGAAAATAGCAGCGGAAACTAACCAAAATGAATCACAGCGAGAAAACAGCTGGAAAAAAAATGAACAAATCATCAGTAAACTGGAACAACCTCAAGATGTCTAACATATATATAATTATAGTCTCAACGGAAAGGAGAAAGAAGGGGGAACATAAAAATATTTAAAGATATAATGGCCAAAAATGTTCCAAATCTGATGAAAACTTTAAACTGACATATCCTAGAAGCAAGGGGGTAAAAAAACATATCAAGGACTATCATAATCAAATTACTGAAAATGTTAATCAAATAACAGAAAATCTTAAAGGTAACTAGGGGATAAAAGACACTATGTACAAAGGAACAAACATAAGAAAGGCCGCAGCCCTCCTGTCAGGAACTGCACAACCCATTTCAAAAGATTTTTTAAAAAATGGCTAAGACCAACAGACCAGCACTATAAGAAATATTAAAAGGAAATCCCTCAGGCAGAAGGAAAATATTAGATGGAAACTGAATCAACACAAAGAAATGGAGAAAAATAGAAATGGTAAATATGGCCCTGGCCGGTTTGGCTCAGCGGTTAGAGCGTCGGCCTGCGGTCCTGAGAGACCCGGGTTCGGTTCCCGCTAAGGGCGTGTACCTCGGTTGCAGTTTGTCCCCGGCCCTGGTCGGTTGTGTGGGTGGCAGCCACTCAATGTGTTCCTTTCACATCGATGTTTCTCTCTCTCTCTCTGTTCCTGTCTCTCCCTCCCACTCTACCTGAACAAAAACTGGAAAAATGTCCTCGGGTGAGGATTAAAAAAAGAAAAAAAGAAAAAGAAATGGTAAATATGTGCATAAACACAAAGATTTCATCTATTTTTACAGTCTTTTAAAAATATAATTTAATGTTTAAAGCATGTTAGTTTATAACATGTAGAACAGGGTACAAAAGTAGGGGAGAGCAGATATAAGTATACTATACACAAAATGGTACATTATTTGAAGGTAGACTAATTTAAACATATATACTGTAAAATCTAGAGCAGCCTTAGCTATTAACCATAATGGAGATAAATGGATTCAAATACTCAATCCAAAGGAAGGAAGGAAAGAGGAAAAAAGGATCAAAAAACAGATAAGACAAACAAAAAACAAATCAAGATGTAGGCTTAATCCCAACCATGGTCAATAATCACCTTAAATGTAAATTGTCTAAAGACACCAATTAGTAGCAGAAATGGTCAGATTGGATTTTTTTTTCTTTATTGATTTTAGAGAGAGAGGAAGTGAGAAGGAGAGAGACAGAAACATCGATGAGAGAGAACATCGACTGGCTACCTCCTGCATGCCCCCAACTGAGAATTTGGCCCACAACCTGGGCAGGTGTCCTGAATGGGAATCGAACTGGTGACCTCCTGGTGCATGGGTCAACACTCAAAACACCGAGTTACACCGGCCAGGCTGGATTTTTTTTTTAAAGCAAGATCCCAGTATATGATATGCCGCCTACAAGAAAATCATTTAACAATGAAGAATAAATAGGCTAAAAATAAAGGATGGAAAAAGATACACCATGCTAACACAATCAAAAGAAAGCCAGGGTTGTTATATTAACAAAGTAGATTTTAGGGCAGGATATTACCAGAAATAGCCCCTTCATAAATAAAGGGGTCATTAAGAGGATGTAACAATCCTAAATGTTTATGCATCTGAAAAAAAAAAAAAACCTTGAGATAACATGAAGCAAACTTATAGGAGAAATAGACCAATCCATACTTGTAGTTGGAGAATTCAATACCACTTTTACACTAATTAATAGAATAAGCAAGAAGAAAATTAGTTAAGCATACAGACTTGAACAATACTATCAGCCAATTTGACCTATTTACATTTTTTTTTTTTAATCCTCACCCGAGGATATTTTTCTACCCATCTTCAGATAGAGTGGGAGGGGGACAGAGAGAGAGAGAGAGAGAGAGAAACATCTATGTGAGAGAGACACATCGATTGGTTACCTACCACATAACCCTGACTGGGGCTGGGGATGAATCGCAACCAAGATACATGCCATTGACTGGAATTGAACCTAAGACTCATTGGTCTGCAGGTGATGCTATAACTGCTGAGCCAAACTGGCCAGGGCCCAATTTACATTTTTCAAACATTCATCCAACAGCAAAATTTACTTCTTTTAGTGTACAAAGAATATTAACCAAGATATCATAAAATGACTCAATAAATAAAAAAGGACTGAAATCATATAAAATATGTTCTTTAATAACAGAATTAAGTCAGAAATTAAATATATATTTATATTATAATACAGTGTAGTGAACTGAGGGTATGATGAAATTTCAGCCCTCAGTTCTCTTGCTGGAATGGCCACAAAACTTCTCAGGATACATCTGGCATACTTATATCTCATCACCTCCTGGTACAGATCCTTCAGGATTGGAAGGGACTCGAGACTTGATTTTCCTACTTAAACCCCAGGGAAACTCCAAAGCTTCTGCACCAAGAAATATGGGGCGGTGGGATTAAGAACTGCACCTGAGCCCTAGCTAGTTTGGCTCAGCGGTTAGAGTGTGGGCCCACCAACCAGAGAGTCTGGGGTTTGGTTCCCGCTAAGGGCATGTACCTTGGTTGCGGTTTGTCCCCCAGCCAGCCAGAGTCGTGTGGGTGGCAGCCAGTCGATGTGATTCTATTGCATCAATGTTTCTCTATCTTTCTTCCTCCCTCTCTCCCTCCCGCTCCAATCTGAAGATAAATGCAAAAATGTCCTCAGGTGAGGATAAAAAAAGAAGAAAAGAAAAAAAAGAATTGCATCTGAGATTTTTATCTTACTTACAAGTTAATAAATTAACCTGGCACAATTTTGTGGATGTTAGTAGAACATAAGAGACTCCTAGGTCTGCGATGAAGGACAGTTTGTTGCAACAATAACAGGCATAGTAGATAGGTTGTGGGAGTAAAGAAATGAGGGAGGTAGAAGGATAGAAGGCTGAAGAAAAAGTGGGACATTGGCATTTAAGATTTCAGCAATGGAATAATCCCTGGTGATGACAAGGTCCACAAAGAGGCCACGGCAGGGAATGAAAGTTGCTGCAGTAGAGAGGTCCAGAGATATTGAGAGGCAAAGGTGATGGATGGGCCTAACATGTAGTTTGATGCTAACCTCTTTAAAGAATGAGGGAGGCTTGCCCAAAAAGGGCACTGATGACAGTAATGAGGAAGGATAGGAAGTGTACCACCAGAAAGCATAAGCCTTAAAGCAATGCAATTCTATGATGCTGAAGGAATAATGAAAAGTGGCACCAGGGGATTGAAGCAGTTTTCAACACTAACCCACCACCCGAGAATGAGCAGCTAGAGAACAGCTCTCAGGGAGGAATCACATTTCAGCTGAGATTAAGGAAGAAGAAAGAATATATTATGAAGTGGCTGAAATATAGGGGAAATTATTTACCAGGAGTTCTAGAGACTATAGTAGGACAGGGAGCAGTTAGAGATTGGGATAGGAAGAAGCAGAGAGCAAACCTTTCATCATATATATCCACAAATACCCTCCCCAAAATAAGGAATCAAAAAAAGTTATCTCTCCCTAAACCAAACTCCATTTAAATAAAACGATATATATATATATCTTGCACAATTATTAGTGTTGCCTAACCAACTATATTTCATCCCAACAGAGATTTCTGGTAATCTAGATTACCTGGAGGAAAATGGGGGGAGAAAAGTTTTGCAAGAGTAGACTTTTGTAAATTTTTAGTGTTGTAGCAGGATAAAGAACAGAAAATGTTTGGGTGATTATGTGCCAAGAGGAAGCCAGAGTGATCTTAGAAAGTCTATTCGTCCTTACCAAGTGAGGGCAACACAGTACCATTATCCTAATATAAAAAGGATCATTCCATGTATCTATTCATTTGAAAAAGGATACAGGTTAATCAGATGGATCAAAAAGGTTTTAAGGTTTATGCAAACATTTCCAAAACCTTGCTTTCACCACAAAGATGTCTTGGTAACATTTATGTTAAGACAAAGACCTAAATAATTTAGGCAAATTCCATCCCATTCATAAAGCACATAAGTCTAGCCTCTAGAAAGCTTATTGTTTTTTAGGCATTCGCTTCCCTTTCAATATAGAGGAGAAGGAAATGATCAAAGCCACTCTCCACGTACTTGGATATTCTGGGAGAGTAAGTCCTGGTCCTAGATCTCAAAGAAATAACCTTTCATTATGCTCCACTTTAAAAGGCAGTAGGCAAAGCTTTAAAAGTGCTGCTGGCTCCAGCGCTGGACATTTCTCTGAGCCTCAGCCAGAAGCGCCGGAACCGAGCCAGCATGACCCAGTGCCACGTGCCCTTCTCGCTCTTGCAGAGCCCTATCTGGGACCCTTTCGACGACTGGCTGCCCAAGCCACACACGCCTCTTCCAGCAGGCCTTCAGAATGCCATGGGTGCCTGACGAATGGTCCCAGTGTTTCTGCCACAGCGGCTGGCCGGGCTACGTGAGCCCACTCACCACGGCCACCGTGGAGAGCACCCTAATGTGACCACGCTTGCCTACAGCCGCGCTCAGTGGACAACTCAGCAACGGCATCTCGGAGATCCAGCACAAGGCCGACTGCACCTGGGCGACTGTCCCTGAATGTCAGCCACTTTGCCCTCCAGGAGCAGATGGTCAAGACCAAGAAAGGTGTGGTGGAAATCACCAGCAAGCACGAAGAGAAGGGATGAACATGGTTACGTTTCCCGGTGCTTCACTTGAAAATACACGCTTCCCCTGGTGTGGACCCCACCCTGGTGTCTTATTCCCTGTCCCCTGAGGGCACGCTCATGGTGGAGGCTCCAATGCCAAACCAGCAAGCCAGCCAGTCAGCAAAGATTACCATCCCTGTTACCTTCAAGGCTGGTGCCCAGCTTGGGGGCCCAGAAGCTGGGCAGTCCAAGCAGCCTGGAGCCACGTAAAGGGTTTAGCCCTGCTTCAAAACCCCCAATAGCAATTGCTGAACATCCCCACCTGTCAGCCTGTATGCCCTTTTGATACGTTTATGTTCTGTTTTTCTCAAATAAAGTTTAAAGCAATAAAATAAATAAATAAATAAATAAATAAATAAATAAATAAATAAATAAAACAAAAATAAAATAAAAGGCAGTATCCAAAGCTAACAGTATAGCACTACTTTCAAAACTGTCTATAATTTTAAAGGTATCTATCACAGCCATGAGTATATAACTTACCCAGCTCCAAATTTGCTGAAATCTCTCTTAGATTGTAGAGTATAGATAGTCAAACCAAAAAATACCGCAGTAGTCAGTACAAATGCTTGCAGAATAATATATACATCATAGAAAGTAACTGTTAAAAAAAAAAAAGATTAAAAATGCACATAAATATATTCAATATAAAAAAGTTTTTCTGCAATTTAACCAGAATGCTTTATTTTCTCCTGTACCACTTGGCAATAAAGACAATTATGAAGATTCCTTATTCAGCCCTTGAATATTGATTGGTACAGTAAAACTACACCCATAATGTAATAACTAGGCTCTAAAATATTCATTAATACAAAATAAGGAGGTCACATTATTATGAAGTTAAAGAAGTGACTATAGACTACACAGCTAGCCAGTTAGTTCTGGGGATATGGTGGGATGATTTCTCACCCAATCCCTGTTCCAGCTGCAGTTTATCACCATCTGTTGTGACTGTCCATTATGGCTTAGATATCAATAGAGAAGATTCTGGGTCCTGTGGCTGGCGGGGAATTCCTTAGTATACAGCAGTTCTAGCAATCACCTGGTTAATTGCACACAGTTCATCAACCCAAATCAAAGAAATTGGGCAAGAAAAATATTGGGGCTATTTGGCATTGTCTGCCATTCACCAACCCCGCAGAGAACAGAAACCAACCATCTGCTGTATATCCAAATCTGCATTATCTTGAAGTACATTATTGTGGTTTTACTGAACATATACCAAATTCCCTTCCATAATTTTAAAACGACATCTGGATTGATTATGGCTATTTCAATATATCTGCCTAACATTTTAAGAAAACGATTAATTATAACCTCTTTAAAGGAAATTAATTGCTTTGAACCCCAAACCACCAAAGTTATTTTTAATTTTTCAGGGATTAATTATCCAAGTTCTTTCTATCCCTAAATGCTACCTTGTTGGAATTTCTCCATTTATGACAATATAGGATTAGGAAGGTGAACGCAGAAAGATAAAACATGAAATCACTTTTGCTTATTGTCAGTAATTTCAGTGTAAGATGTTCTCAGATTATCCCATCTATATAGTTCTACCCCCACTTCCAACAACCCTGAAATAAATCTCTTCCCTGCATACCTTATGAATGGTGGGAGTCAGGGAGAACAGAGATGGATTTGATAATAACATTAATAGTAAATAACATTAATAGATAATAAATCTAACAAGTAAATAATAATACCTCCTATGTTATAAAATTTCATTCCTATTTTAGTTATTATTGTTTTCTTATATTCTGATTCTTTTATAAAAGAGGTAGATTACCAAACAATACATACATTCAATAAACTGGCATCAAAAGGTTAAAAAAGTACTGACAAGATAGGAAGAGATAAATATATTAACCATAAGGAACAACAATTTATTGAGAGTAATAGTTAATGCTGACCCTTTTGATACCCCAGGTTAATCATTTTGAGAATCAGAATTTTTACTGTTGATAAAACATGAAATTTTTTACTTGACGCATTACATAGGGTATATCAACTAATTAATACAGACACTTCCTTTCAAACACATATTTAACACCAAATATAAAACAAAAATTACTACTTTTTTTGTGGGGCCACTTGATAAAATATGAGAAAATAATAAAGCATAGTTTGATGCAGACAATTCAAGAGGCTGAGCTCGTGATGAAAGTACATAGCTCAAAACATGTACTTTCTCCTCTAAGAGCCCTTTTAATCAGGGGAAAGTTAGCTATGGTTGTCTTATTTTTATAAATGGATAAACAAAAATGAATATTTTTCTCCCTCCCTATTGTTTTTCTAATTCTTTTCCACTTCCCCTAAGCTCAGTTGAACTATGTAAAAACATTTCATTTTTGCCTATATTTTAGGAATTCTTTATCCTATGGCATATTTTTGAAATATAACATTCCATCATGTTAAGTTTTAGCTCCAAATACCTTTTTATCCAGAATATTTATCCACATTAAAAAGTAAATGTATGGCCCTGGCCGGTTTGGCTCAGCTGTAGAGCGTCGGCCTGCGATCCAGAGAGACCCTGGTTCGGTTCTCGCTAAGGGCATGTACATTGGTTGCAGTTTGTCCCCGGCCCTGGTTGGGTCGTGTGGGTGGCAACCGCTCGAAGTGTCCCTTTCACATCAATGTTTCTCTCTCTCTCCCTCCCTTCCCACTCTATCCAAACAAAAACTGGAAAAAATGTCCTCGGGTGAGGATAAAAAAAAATTTTTTTTTAAGTAAATGTATGGAGTACTATGCAGCTGTAAGAAAGAAAGATCTCTTATTATCCTTTGAGACGACATGGAGGGGCCTGGAAAGTATTATCCTAAGCAAAACGAGCCAAACAGAGAAGACAAGTATCATATGATCTCACTTATTTGTGGAATATAATGAACACAACAGTCTGAGTAATGGGGTAGTCCCAGAGATGTGGAAGTGGGGTACAGACTGACAATCCCCAGAAGAGGGGGTAGTAGGGGAGAGATAAACCAAAGAACTTATATGCATGTGTGCATGAACAAAGGTCATGGACAACAAAGCTGGGGACAGGGGAGGGAGAGAGGGGGAGGAAGGAATCAGTGGGGGAAAAAGGAGAAACATCTGTAACAAAAATTAATTAATTAAAAACAAAAAAAAAGTAAATGTAACATAGAGAAGAACAATTATAGCTTACCAATACTGGCCACACTCAGAGCTTCCAACAGTGTCTAAGAAAAAGAAATTAAAATAACATAAATGCATGTAAAATTTATACTGTCATGTACATGGTTCTATTTCTTGTTCAATGCGATTCCATATGCATGATCTCATTTTAGTTTCAGAGCAGCTATAATAAGCCCACCATATAAAAATGAGACCTCAGTGTATTGAATGAGAATATTTACATTCTAACTGTGATCCCATCACTCCTTAAACTCTAAACCAGATTTTTCATGTCTGTAAGAGAAAGATTATAGAAAATGTACAGAAAATTCAATGTCTTTCACTGTATAATATAAATAAAAATGAAATTGCAAATCATGTGTACATTTATAAAAGCTTAAATATCTCACTTAAGCATAAGAATATTAAATATTTATACTGACTAATTCTTAATTTAATGTTAAACATATAGGTAGCACTGGTGTGGCAGGGTCTTAAAATTGTCTCATAGGAGGAGGGAGAGATAAATAAAAGTAAAAAAAATTAATAAAAATTGTCTCATAATATTATCTCTTTCTTCCCTAGTAACAGAATTTTTACCTGGACAGAGCTGCTCAGATTAAACATTATATTTTTCAGTATCCCTTACAACCAGATCTGGCCACAGGACTATGTTCTAGTCAACAGAATGTGAGCTGAGATGTAAACAGCTTCTAAAAGCATGGAGGACTCCTCCCCTTTCTCTTCTCATTTTTACAAATAACTGGATGGAATATGGATATGATAGTGAGCATCTTATACCATATGACACTTTAGGAATATCTGAACCTTAGCAGGTACTTGGGCCCCTGACAACTCCACTAAACAGTCATTCATATTTTTTACATGAAAGAGAAATAAACCATTGTTATTTTGTCATTGTTTAAGCCATGTCGTAAGTAGTTGAACTCAGCCCTGGCTGATTTGGCTCAGTGGTTAGGATGTCAGCCTACAGACCAAAGGGTCTTGGGTTTGAAGGTCAAGGGCATTACCTGGGTTGCAGGTTCAATCCCCAACCCCAGTCGGAATCTTGCAGGCGATGTCTCCCTCCCTCCCTCCCTCCCCTCTTCCCCCTCTCCTTTCCCTCCCTCTCCACCCTCCCTCCTTCCACTTTATCTAAAAATCAATGGAGCCTGGCTGGTGTGGCTCAGTGATTAAGCATCGACCCATGCACCAAGAGGTTGCCTGTTGGATTGCTGGTTCAATTCCCAGTCAGGACACATGCCCAGATTGTAGGCCAAATCCCCAGTGAGGGACATGCAGGAGGCGGCCAATCAGTGTTCTCTCATTGATGTTTCTCTCTCTAAAATAAAAAAAATAATAATAATAAATAAAATAAATAAAAATCAATGGAAAAATATCCTTGGGTAAGTATTAACAAAAAACCAAAAACAAATAAACAACCACAAAAAAAGACAAGTAGCTGAACTCAGATCCTAAATAAGAGATTTAGGGATATTAAGCTTTAACTTCTGGCTCTTTTTTCCCCTTAATTACATATCTTTATTTTGTTTACTCTAGTTAGACTTTATCAACCACCTGATAGACCATAACATAAAAGCAAAGCCAAAAGTAACAGCAGTGGCTGTATAATCACACATGGAAGCACTCCCTATAAACTTTCCCTACCTGAAATCAAGAAATCATTAGAAGCAAAAATGGTATTAGAAATTGTACCCAGATGTGGAGGCAATGAAGCCACTGCCACATTTTGTTATAATGTTGTTGGTAGTGTCAGGGAAGTAGTAGCAAAAGATGATAGAAATATTTTTTCTGGGCAATATTCTTGGTATTTGTGACATGATTTTAGGTAAGAAAATCTACCCCATACTCAAGTATCAGAAGGAAAAGGAATAGTATAAACAGGAGAAAAGGTAAAACTAGGAAAACATACCATCCCCAAATAATGCCCCTTTTTAAATGTGTACACACACACACACACACACACACACGCCTCCTAAGGCAAGGTGAGATTCATCTTCCTTATTTTGGTGGAGTAGGACAAAATAACCTAGTATCAGAGAAATCACAATAATTTTATATACTTCTTTATTTGTTTAACCATTTTTAGTTATGGGCATGATCCATAGTTGTAGCAGTAAGTGACCATATCTTGCCCACAAGCATTTGACTGATGCATTTCTAGTGGGTCTCTCCCTGCTGGGCAAAAGCTGATCTATACCATTGTCCCAGATAGGAATCAATCATAGTCTTTTGGAAAGCAGACTGGCTACATGTAGAGTTGAACAAGAACTCTATAGGATGCTGTATCTTTTTGTACTTCCTCCTTCTCAGGACAGCTGACTGGGACAGGAGTTGGTATCTAACCCAGGGGCTGTCAACCCATATTGGCTAACAATCTACAAATGTGACCTGTGCCATTAACTAGTCTAAACAACCAGATTCTTTCCCACTTAGAAATCTAAACGACAAAATAAAGCAACAGTAGCAGGAGCTAAAGCTAAAGGGTTAATGAATCATATGAGGGCCCACAATGGGCCATATAAAAACTAAAGGGGAAAACTATGTGTAAGGACAGCTGTAAGGTAGAGAAGAAATGTAATGGAAGAAGGGAAAGGAGACCACAAACTCTTGCTCCTGAATTTCCTACCACAGCATCATTTCTAAAATTCCCCTTTAGTTCTTTTTCTTCTTGAGGCCTGATGGGGTAGATTGGTGGGTTCCCAAGCTCTTATATCCTTAAAATAAACTCCCTGCTACTAGCAGTAACTTGGGTTAGAGTATTGATACCTGGCAAACAGAAGAACCCAAGATTTAAATTAATAACTTCCTGTAACTGAAATTTCCAAAGTCATAAGCTTTTCTTTCATAATATTAACAAAAACTTATCAGAATTCATAAAACTTCCTTGAAGACAGTTTAATCTGATAAATAACATTTTCAATCTTATCTGACTATAAATATTCTTTTGTTTGTTTGTTTTTATTAATCCTCACCCAAGGCTATTTTTTAGATAGAATGGAAGGGAGGGAGGGGGAGAGAGAGAGAAAGAAAAACATCAATGTGAGAGAGATACATAGATTGGTTGCCTCCAGCACAAACCCAACCAGGGCTGGGGATAAAACCTGCAACCTAGATACATGCCCTTGACCAGTAATTGAACCTGCAACCCTTCGGTCCACAGGCCAACACTCAAACCACTGAACCAAATTAGCCAGGGCTATAAATATTCTTAGTCTTAGTTTGGAAGGTTTTGATGTAAATTTTTTTTTTTTTTTTTTATCCTCACCTGAGGACATTTTTCCATTTTTTGTACAGACAGAGTGGGAGGGAGAGAGAGGAAGAGAGAGAGTGAGAAACATCGATGTGAAAGGGACATCGTGGACCCGCACGACCAACCAGGGCCGGGGACAAACTGCAACCAAGGTACATGCCCTTAGCGGGAACCGAACCCGGGTCTCTCCGGACCGCAGGCGGGCGCTCTAACCGCTGAGCCAAACCAGCCAAGGCTTGATGTAAATTTTTAAGTCAGAACCCAAATCACACTGGATATAAGAATGGGAAAAGTAATTTTTTAAAATAGATAACTTGAGGCCTTACCAATACATTCTGGTCATATTCTAAAATTGAGATTTTATGGGTAGTAGTTTGGGTTTTAATTTTCACAAATATCTTAACAAGCATGATTTAAACTTAAGCTCCCCCAACAATAATTTTGAAACAAGTTAGTAAAGTACATCAACTGAACAAAATGGTCCTTTAAAAGGACAGAGTCATATACGATAAAAGTAACACTAAATAGTTAACCATAAAGATTTCAATTTAAGGGCTATGAAATTAAGGCCATAATATAAGTTTTTCCAAAGAAAAGCACAGAATATTAGGGGTAGGAAGTATCACAGGGATAATCTACTGTAATATTTTCATTTTACATATGAGAAAACTTAGGTACGGAAAGGCTAAATGCCCTGCCTAATGTCACACAACCAGATAGTGGCAAAGCCAAGTCATGTGATTCCAGTTCATTATTCATTATTTTTCCCACGGTATCACAATATTAACAGAAAAAACTTTGAAACTGACAAAGTTTAAAAATTATTTACAGACTAGGAGATTGCAAGTAATCCTAAAATATTCAATTTTTTAAAAAAACTCATTAATTTTGTTCTGCTGTACACATATGCATTCAATTAGGTAAATAAATTTAAAAGTCAGTAATAAATGTTAAAGGAGTAGATATTGTCAAAGTACTCACAAATCCAAAAAGCAGGTACAGGTTAAGGGGATGTTTATGTCTGTTTAGAGTCAACGCAAAAATCAAACCCAAAGATCCAATGGCAAACACCAAAATTAAGGCAGGACTGAAAAACATAAAATTAAAAGCAGTTTCGAGTTAAAAAAAGAAAAAAGCATAAATAGTATTATCAAATTTAATAAAATTTATCTATTTTATGTGTTTGTGAAACTACAAAAACAACATCTGGAAGGATCTACACCAAACTGTCAAAAGAAATTATTTTTCCACCTGGGAACTGAGGACTGGGAGATAGGGAGGAGCAGGACAAGGAAACGAGCCCACAATGCAAGGGGAACACTTTTCCTTTTTACTTCATGAACTTCTACCATATTTGAATAATTTTTATAATTAGCATACTGCTTTTTAAACTAAAATACAAAGAGCTATTAAATAATAAATTTTATACCTAACTACTTTCTTAGGGTGTTTACTATGTAGCTGTAATTTAATTTAAAGTATCTTTACCCCAAATAGCAAATAGTTCAAGACTCCCCTTCTGTAGAGGAAGGGGGGATAGAAACTGTCTACTCAGCTAAGAAAATACTCATTCCTTATGTTTCCTTTCCTTTAATATAAAGATTGTTTATTACTTTTAGCCATAAAAATCGTTATTTTGGAGGTCAGATCTTAAACAAATTTGGGATAAATCATATGCAGCACCTTTGAAAACTTTTCAGTGAAATTATCTACTCAGGAGCCAACACTAAGGTAAGTTAAAAACACATTTCTTAAATACCTTCATTTTTCAAGCACTCTATTGGGTTTTGGGGACAAGAAATATATCTAATAAAAGCAAATAAATTAAAACTTACAAACTATATGCAGTAAAAAGTCTTAATACAATTCCAGGAGATAAGGGTTTATTTAACCTTATGAAACTGAAGCTAAAATGTTCAGAGGTAAATACCATGTTGTAGAATATCTGCCTTGTCAAAACAAATCTTATTGACAAGAGTTAAAGAAATAAACCTTTTTACAATAAAACATAAAAAGTTAATAGAAAATAACTTTGCTTATGCCCTTTTGATCATAAGCAGTGGCTGAAAGTGTATTTAGAATAATCTTACCTTTCATGTACAAATGTCCGTATAGACTCAAAGTATAAAAAAACTGCAGATGTCACTGTAGTTAAGAGAACTTGCAGAGAAAGGATGCTGTAGACTTTTCTTAGAAAGGCTAAAAAAGAAGATTTACACATTAAGCATTTATCATAGAACAGCAAGATCAAATTTCTTCTTATTATTAAATTTTATATGTATTCTTCCTTAAATATTAATCCAAATAATGTTATCTGTAACTAAACTTAAAGAAAATGCTTCCAAAGGAAAAAAATTGTAAGTCCTAACTATCCTCCAAGCATGGACTTTTAAAAAATTAACTTAATGGGCCAGAATGTAAATGTTTTCATCAAAATAAAAAGTACTAAATGCATACTTGTAAACAGTAGCATACTACGCAACAAAAGATTAAAAACAGAACATTTTAGAAGAATGATTAATCTTGAACCTGAAATGCCAGAAACAGAAAGCATAAGGTTACATATACATTTAAAAATAAATCTTTATTTCCAAGCAAATGTTTCCCTAAAATGAACTTCCTCTTCAAAGGCAAACAATAGGCCCGGCCAGTGTGGCTCAGTGGTTGAGCATCGACCCATGCACCAAGAGGTTACCGGTTCAATTCCCGGCCAGGGCACATGCCCAGGTTGTGGGCCCGATCCCCAATGGGGGGCATGTAGGAGGTGACCATTCAGATGTTGTCTCTAATTGATGCTTCTATCTCCCTCTCCATTCCCCTCTCTCTCTAAAAGTCAATAAAGAAGAAATAAAAGGCAAACAATATATAAACTTACTTTCACTTATTTTATTTTCATTTCTCGCTTATAGTACCTCTGCCTCTAGTTTCTATACAATAAAAAATTCTTACTTTCAGAATATTTTATCAACATCCATAAATTAACTCCAAGGCCTAATGATTTAAAAATACTTCTGATATACAGATAATATAAATACACTGAACACCCAACTCACCACCAGCTTTAGAAATAAAACATTAACAACGGTTCCCATCTCCTCTATGTAAATACACTTATAATAACATCCTTCTCCCCTCACCCCCTTAGCTAACTGTTAATCATCCTTCAACATTCAGCCTTTCTCATTTCCCTAGCCTGAATTAAATGGTCTTCCTCATGTTCCCAAGGGACCCTAAACATACTTCTAATCACTTTATTTATTTTTTTATTTTCTTTGTTTTAAATTTTGTGGTTTTGTTGTTGTTGTTGTTTATTATTTAATTTTATTTTTGTTACAGATGTTTCTCCTTTTTTACCCCATTGACACCCTCCTCCCCATCTCCCCCCGCCCCATCCCCGGCTTTGTTGTCCATTGGTTATGCATACATGCACATAAGTTCTGTAGTTTATCTCTTCCCACCCCCCAACACCCCCTCTTCTGAGGGTTGTCAGTCTGTACCCTATTCCTCAGACTATTATATTCATTATATTTCATATGTAAGTGAGATCGTGTGGTATTTGTCTTTTTCTGTTTGGCTTGTTTCACTTAGGATAATACTTTCCAGGTCCCTCCATGTCGTCTCAAAGGATAAGAGATCTTTCTTTCTTACAGCTGCATAGTACTCCATTGTATATATGTACCACTGCTTTTTTATCCATTCATCTACTGATGGACACTTGGGCTGTTTCCAGATCTTAGCTATTGTTAATAGTGCTGCTATGAACATGGGGGTACATATATTCTTTCTGATTGGTATCTCAGGCTTCTTAGGGTATATTCCTAGAAGTGGGATCACTGGGTCAAATGGAAGTTCAATTTTTAATTTTTTGAGGTAGCCCCATATTGTTTTCCACAGCGGCTGCACCAGTCTGCATTCCCACCAGCAGTGCACTAGAGTCCCCTTTTCTCCACACCCTCGTCAACACTTGTTGTTTGATGATTTGTTGATGGTGGCCATTCTGACAGGTGTAAGGTGATACCTCATTGTTGTTTTAATTTGCATCTCTCTGATGATTAGTGATGTTGAGCATTTCTTCATATGTCTCTTGGCCATTTGTATGTCCTGTTTGGAGAGGTGTCTATTCAGCTCCTCTGCCCATTTTTTAATTGGGTTCTTTGTCGTCCTTTTGTTGAGTTATATGAGTACTCTATATGTCTTGGAAATTAACCCCTTATCTGATGTATCATTGGCGATGATGTTCTCCCATACAGTGGGTTGCCTTTCCATTTTGATGGTTGTTTGTTTTTTTTATTTTAATCCTCACCTGAGGATATGTTTTTATTAATTTAAGAGAGAGACGAAGGGAGAGAGAGAAACATCAATAGGCTATCTCCCCTACATACCCCAACCAGGGAAAGAACCTAAAACCTAGATATGTGTCCTGATGAGAAATTGAACCCACAACCTTTTGGTGTATGGAATGGCACTCCAACCAACCAAGCCACTTTGCCAGGACTTAATCACTTTACTTTATAATGATAAATCCTACTTGTCCCTCGCTCCCATTACACTATTAAGACTAAAATCTCCCTGCCCTGGCCGGTTTGGCTCAGCGGTTAGAGCGTCGGCCTGCGTTCCTGAGAGACCCGGGTTCGGTTCCCACTAAGGGCATGTACCTCGGTTGCAGTTTGTCCCCGGCCCTGGTCGGTTGTGCGGGTGGCAGCCACTCGATGTGTTCCTTTCACGTCGATGTTTCTCTCTCTCTCTGTTCCTCTCTCTCCCTCCCACTCTACCTGAACAAAAAGATGGAAGAATGTCCTCGGGTGAGGATTAAAAAAAAACTCCCTAATAATATGGAGCATGTCTTACTCATTTTCATACCACCAGCACTCAGCCAAATAAATTTATAATGAATTAATGAGAGGTGAATTTTGCCAGTTAAGGAAGAGAAAAGGAATACATACCAGGGTGTTAATAACGGTTTTCTTGGGCAGTAAGACTAAGGATAATTTTCATGTTCAGTTCTTTGCTAATCTGTGTTTTTTTATATATCACTAATAAATATTTATTACTTTTGTAATTGAAAAACATTTTACAGAAACCTGTGCTAAGGTAAAATAATCCTTAAGCAGATATTCCAGATCACAGCTTTTCCTATACTCTTTAAAAATGGCACCCTAAATCAAATACTGGGAAAAAGCAACATTTGATACCCATTTTGAATAACATCTAAAAAGTGGCAAAGGATATGCATGCACAGATCACAGGGAAAACAAAAAGATTCAATGATAATGCAAGCCCAACAGCAATATCTTCTCTCTCTCTTTCATTTTTTTGAGTCCTGATTTCTGTCCTTCTGCTTCACATCTCAAACTTAACATAGCCACAACAGGGACTCTTCGTTTCTACCCAAATCTGTCCTTCTCCCAGTCTTCTCAACACTAACCAGCACCAACATCCACCCAGCCATGTAGGAGTCATCTTTGATTCCCCCACTTCCTCCCAATCCATTAACTACCACAACTTCCACTTGCAAAGTAGGACACATCCACCTGGTTTCCTCTGCAACCTCTCTAGACAAAGTCTGTATGATTTTGTGCATGGACTATTGGAGTAGCCTAACTGGTCTCCATGCTTTCACTCTAGTCCCACCTATTTTATTCTCCACACAGCTGTCAGAGTGATCTCTTTTATGAAATAAACCATATCCTGTGATTCCCTGCTTTAATGCTTTCAAAGATTTCCCTTCACTTAGAGTAAAATTTAAAAGCTTTTATGGGGCCTACAAGGCCCGGTGTGATATAGAACATTTCCAACCTCACCTCACACCACTCTTCCTTTTCTTCATATGCTTTACCCACAGTAGCCACCTTTCTGTTCCCCAAACATGCCAAATCCTTCCTTCTTCTGGGCCTCTGCCCTTGCTGTTTCCTCTGCCTGACATGCCCTCATCTTCTTTACATGGAATGATGGTTTAAAATATGTCCACAATTTTGTTTTAATCCTCACCTGAAGATATTTTTCTAGTTATCTTTAGATAGAGTGAGAGGGAGAGAGAAACATCAATGTGAGAGAGACACACCAACTGGTCGCCTCCCGCACGATCATGACCAGGGCCAGGGATGAATTGCAATTGAGGTATGTGCCCTTGACTGGAATCGAACCCTTGACTCATTGGTCCTTGGGCTGACACTCTAACTGCTGAGCCAAACCAGCCAGGACAATATGTCCACAATTTCTGACATTTCCTTCAAGTGACTCACTTCTAACAAAAAAAAATAAGGCAGAAGTAGCAGTGTATGTTTTATTTAACGGAATGAACCATAAGAAGAATCATAGGAGACCCACAAAGTTTACTAAATACTTTTATTGGCAAAAATACCACCAAAGTATGCCTCTGGTACCACTGGGTTTTGGGTGTGTGGGTACAAATAATTTGTCTCTGTAGTGCCAAAGACTTCAAGAGGGTCTTGGCTTGCATGTGGAAGAAAGAAAAAGAATTTCTGGCAAGAGGGTAAACTGTGGTGGTTTAAAATAGGCTTAAAAATTATTTGACACTACCTTCAAAAGATGGAGCCTAGATCCCCTCCCTATGAGTGTGGACTGAACTTAATGACCTGCTTTTAATGAATAGAATAATGGAGATGTGAAGTGTGGGTGATCACCATGACAAGATCATAAAAGGTGCTACAGCGTCTTCATTACTCTCAAGGATTGCCTGCTCTGGGGGAAGCCAGCCACTATGTCGAGGACACTCAAGCAGCCCAGGGAGTGGGTCCTGTAGCAAGGAACCGAGGCCTTCTGTCAACAGCCATATTGGTGAGATTTCCTGGTAGCAGATCCTCCAGCTCAGTCAAGCCTTTAGCTACTGCAACCCCAGCCCACATCTTGATCAGAATCACAAGAGAAAATGAGCCAGACAGAACTACTTGGCTAAATCCGCCCCAGATTCCTGATTGTCAGAAACTGTGTGAGATAATAACTATTTGTCACTTCAAGCTACTGAACTTTGAGGTAATAGTTTATAAAGCAATAGATAATACACCTGGCTAGCTCCTCATACAACTGTCATCTCCTTTCCCTGACCATTCTTGTAACTAAAATATCTGCCACTCTAAATCCTGAGTTCTATTCCATTACTGTTTATTTTCTTTAGAGAACTTATCATAGCTAGTAGTCTGTTTATTTGCTGACCTCTTTAGTACCTGTCTCCCTCAATCCCTAATCCAAATGATACTCTTGAGGACTAAAATGTTGTCTGATTACTGTCATATCCCTAATATCAGTTTTGTAAATGAAGGAAAATATTCACCTTCACTCACATAGCTAAATGAATGCAAATTAAAACCAGATAACATTTTTTTACCTACCTCATGAGTCAGCAAACTATAACCCATTGGCCAAATCCAGCCCACCACTTGATTTTGTAAGTAGTTTTATTAGGCACAGCCACACTTACGCATCTGTGTATCCTTTACAACTGCTTTGGCACTACAATGGCAGAGTTGAGTAGTTGCAACAGACACCGAAGGCCCCATAAAGCTGAAAATATTTACTATTTAGGCCTTCGTAGAAAGTGTTGGCAACCTCTGATCTACCAGATTGCCAAATATTAAAAATTTCGATGATAGTGTTGGTGAGGGTGCAAAAAAGGTACCCTCATATATTGTTCTCCTGCAGAGTCAAAGGTGCAAACTCATTGGAGGATAGTTAATAACATCAGTCAAATTTAAAATATACATACTCTTTTGAGCCCATAATTTAACTTCTAAAAATTTAGCCTAGAGCAATACTTGCAGAAATTCACGAAGATATGAAAAGATATTCCCTAAAGCACTATTTGAAGGAATAAAAAAATAAAAAAGAACCTAAATATCCATCAAGAGGGGATGATTAAATTAACTGGGGTATAGCCCTGGCTGGTTTGGCTTAGCGGTTAGAGCATCAGCCTGCGGTCCAGAGAGACCCGGGTTCGGTTCCCGCTAAGGGCACATGCCTCGGTTGCAGTTTGTCCCCGGCCCTGGTTGGGTCATGTGGGAGGCAGCCACTCAATGTGTCCCTTTCACACTGATGTTTCTCTCTCTCTCTCTTCCTCCCGCTCTATCTGAACAAAAAATGGAAAAATGTCCTCGGGTGAGGATAAAAAGAAGAGAGAGAGAAAAAAATAAAGTCCATCAAAAACAAAATGGGCAAAGGACTCAAATAATATCTCTTCAAAGAAGATGTACAAATGGCCCATAAGTATATGAAGATGTTCAACATCACTAATTACCAGGGAAATGCAAATCAAAACCAAAATGCATACAATCTCACACTCATCTGAATGACCACTTAAAAAAAAAAAACATGCCCAGCTGGTGTGGCTCAGTGGCTGAATGTTGACCCATGCACCAAGAGGTTGCCGGTTCAATTCCCGGTCAGGACACATGCCCAGGTTGTGGGCCGGATCCCCAAGTGGGAGGCATGCAGGAGGCAGCCAATAGATGTCCTCTCTCATCGATGTTTCTATCCCCTCTCCTGCTCCATTTCTCTCTCTCTAAAGTCAATAAAGGAGAAAGAAAAAAAAAATTGAAGATTTAAAAAAAAACACATACACACAGAAAGTGTCAGTGAGGATGTGGACAAATTGGACCCTTGTGTAATGTTAAGAATATAAAATGGTCCAGCCTCTATGTAAAACAGAATGGTGGTTCCTCAAAAAATTAAAAAATATCCCTGGCTGGTTTTGCTCAGTGGTTAGAGCATCGGTCCATGGACCAGAGAGTCCTGGGTTCGGTTCCCACTAAGGGTATGTACCTCGGTTGCAGTTTGTCCCTGGCCCCGGTTGAGGTCGTGTGGGTGGCAACCAGTAGATGTGTCTCTCTCACATCGATGTTTCTCTCTCTCTCTCTCTCTTCCTCCCTCTCTCTCTCTCTCCCACTCTATCTGAAGATAAATGCCAAAAAAAAAGGTCCTCGTATGAGGATTAAAAAATAGAATTACCCTACTGTAAGAAAATAAAAAATATATATTGTCTGTGATTCCTGACGCAGAGCTCCTGAAACCCTTATAATTTCCTAAGTGATAAGAGCACTAGGTGCACCTTTTGTTCTAATACTGGTTTTTGACCCCGGTTCTTAACATGGCTGGTCCCTTGTAATGTCCTGGGTGATAAGAGTGTCTTTGTTCTACTGAGTGGCTTTCAGTTGGCTTCTGGACAAGGGCTGGTCGCCAGAAAGAACAAGTCAAGATCAGAAGTTGGAATTTTCAGCCCAATCCCCATTTTCTTGAGAAAGGAAAAGGGATGAAAATGCAGAAAAGATCGATCATGCCTACCCAAGGAAGCCTCCATAAAATCCCAGTAGTATGGGATTAAGAGAGGTTCTTGACTAGTGAACACATCCACATACTGGGAGAGTGACACACTCCAACCATGGGGACAGAGGCTCCAGCGCTTGGGACCATCCCAAGTGGCCTTGCCCTATGTACTCTTCATCTAGCTATTCATCTCTATCCTTTAATAAACTGGCAAATGACAGTGCTACCCTGAGTTCTGTGAGCCACTGTAACAAATTATCAAACCTGAGGAGGGCATCCTGGGAACCTCTGATTTGTGGCCAAGTCAGACAAAAGCTGTGGGTAACCTGGGGACTTATTACCTATGATTGGCATCCGAAGTGGGGTGGGTGCAGCCTTGTGGGATTGAGCCCTTGTGGGATGTGACACTATCTCCTGGCAGACAGTGGCAGAATTTAGATAAACTGTAGGACACCCAGATGGTATCACAAAAAATTGCTTGGTATTGTGGAAAAAACAAAAAAACCCCACATATTTGGTAACCAGAAATGTCAGAAGTGTTCTGTATGAGAAGTAAAAGAGAAACACAGGAGGAAAAACTGGATTTTTCCAATGAAAAAACAGGTTTTTCACTAAAACACATTTGACACAGCAATTCCACATTTCAGTATATATCCAAAAGAACTGAAAGTAGGATCCCAAAAAGATATGGAATATTATTCAGCCTTAAGAAGGAAGGAAATTCTGACACATTCTACAACAGGGATGCACCTTGAAAACATACTAACTGAAACAAGCCAGTTACAAAAAGACAAATAATATATGATTCCACTTATACGAGGTATCTAGAAGGGCCAAATTCATACAAACAGATGGTATACAGGTAGTTGCCAGGGGCTGGTGGGAGGGGGAAAATGGGAAGTTCTTTGATGGGCGTAGTTTTGCAAGATGAAAACGTTTTGGAGGCTGGTTGCACAACAATGTGAACGTTTTTTAACATGACTGAACTTTAGTACCCTTAAAAATGGTTAAGATGGTACATTTTTAATGTTAGGTGTATTTTAATTAAAAACAAAAACTGAGCTCACTTGCCAAAATAATTCCAAAATTCAATTTCAGAAACACAGATGCTAGAGATCACGATTCTTAGTGCATCAGAGCTTCGTAATTCCTTTTCAAGAACAAGTTCCAGCTGCCCTGACAGGATGAAAATCTGGGGCAGCTTCTGTGATCAACTGGCTGAACTAGACCGGACAATGAATTCCACCTAAGTGAAACTGAGCATTTTAAATTCAGAATAATTTCTGCCCAGTGGATACTGCATAATAACCTAAAACTAATATGGTATTTTGACTGAATTAGAAGGCATCTATTTTCAGCAACTGTCCCAATAATACTCAAACCTATGTAGAGTTCTAGGTCCTGCAGAGAGAAGATAATGAACGAGAATAGATATGGTCCCTGCCCTCACAGATCTTACAATCCAAACGACACAGACAAATAGAAAATTAAAATGTGTTCACATGGGCCCTGGCCAGGTAGCTCAGTTGGTCAAAGCAAGGTCTGTGCACACCAAGGTTGGGGGTTTGATCCCGTCAGGGTACATGCTAGAAGCAACCAATGAATGTAAAACATAAGAGCAACAACAAACTGATGTTTCTCTCTCTCTCTCTCGAATCAAAAATAAGTAAGTAAGTAAGTAAATAAATAACAAATAAATAAATAAGTGTGACCCGACTGGAGTGGCTCAACTGGTTGGGCCGCCTCCTTTGCACCAAAAGGTTGCCAGTTCCGTTCCCAGCCTGGGTACAGGCCGGGCTGTCTGAATCCCCGGCAGGGGGCGTGCAGGAGGGAGCCAATGGATGTTCCGCTCACATCAGGTTTCTGTTCCTCTTTCTCTCCCTTCCTCTATAAAAAAATCAACAATATAAAAATAAAATAAAATGTGTTCACATGCCCAGAACACAAACATCCCAGCAGATAACTCATGCAGGTGTACGTCCCAAGATTAAACAATTTGGTTTCTTTTCATCTAAAGATGCCAAATTAAGGCCGCTGAGTTTTTCATCTGTCCCTGTCTACGCAGAACACGGCCGGGGTCACGTAGGCTCCTGTTTCCTCCCCCGAGCACACGGCGAGGAGGACCCCTAGCGGCCGTCCCGCTGGGCCCCTGCGGGGGAGGGCGCTCGGCCCGGGCCGGAGCCGAGGTGGGAAAGGAGCTCCCTGGGCCCCCGGGGCGCCCGGGCCCCCGGCTCCCCTCGGAGAGCGCTCTCCGCCTGACACCGGAAGTCCGCCCCTCCCCCCCCAGCGAGGCCCGCTGCGCAGCAGGCCCCACCCGGGCGCCCGGGGAATGGGGCGACCTACCCATTCGGATGTACACGCTGGCAGAGGCCACGCAGCTCCCATAGTTGAAGTCGTCCACGATGGAAGAGCTGGGGTAGCGGGGGCCTGAGTCAGCCATGGCAGCACTGGTACCCCCAGCTCCCCGCCGAAAAGCAGAAGACAATGACCGCAACAGCCCTTCACTTCCGGATAAGCTTCCGGAGCGCAGCCTGGGCCAATCAGAGAGAGCGCTGACGGCACAAGGGGTCGCTTCGTCAGCGCTTCCCCACGGGAACTTCCCCACGGAAACTTCGCCCCTTTCTTATTTTAATTTAGCGAGAGAGAGAGAGAAGCATCGATTTATGATTCCGGTTATTCATGAATTTGTTGCTTGATGTGATGGGAATCGAACCAGCAAACTCTTGTTGCGTGGGTGGATGCTCAACCACTAAGCCACAGGGGCTGGGCGTGGCTAGAGGTCGTTTTAAAAAGCTTGTTGAGCCCTGCATTGTGGCTGGTGGCTTGAAAGCTGTCCCGCGGACTGAGAGCACTGAGAGACCCTGGTTCCATTCCCCGTAAGGCGCATGCCCAGGTTGCGGGCTGGATCCCCAGTAGGGGGCGTGCAGGAGGCAGCCCATCAATGTTTCTCTCTCACGTGGATGTTTCTGTCTCTCACTTCCTGTTTCTAAAAAAGAAAATCAATAAAAACTTTAAAAATAAATAAAAAGCTTGTTGAGGAGCCCTGGCTGGGCAGCAGCTGGTTGGTGTCATGCAGATACACGGAAGTTGCTGTTTGGATCCCTAGTCGGGGCACAAAGAAGAATCAATCAATGAATGCATAAATAAGTGGAAAAACAAATCAATGTTTCTCTTTCTTCCTCTCTCTCTAAAGATATCAATAAGTAAAAAATTTAATAATTAAAAAACATCTGGCTTGGAGAGTTGCTAACAGCATTAGAAGCAAAGTCCCATCCGTTCCCATTCATTCCACAAATACTTCATACTCCTTCAATAATCACACTGGGGATGCACTTTTTTTAATTCTCACCCAAGGATATGTTTGTTTGTTTGTTTCCTCTGATTCTAGAGAGAGAGCAAGGGAGAGGGAGAGGGAGAGGGAGAGGGAGAAGGAGAGGGAGAGAGAAAAATTCATTAGTTTCACCCATATATACCCTGACCTGACCAGAGATTGAATTCACAGCCTGGGTATGTGCCTTGACCAGGAATTGAACCAGAGACCTTCAGTGCACCAGAAGACACCCTGAACAATGAGACACACTGGCCAGGGCCTGGGATGGCTTTTTTTGTTTGTTTGTTTTTTAATCCTCACCCAGGACATTTTTGCATTTATTTTCAGATAGAGCGGGGATGGGAGGGACATTGATGTAAGAGAGACACATCCAGTGGTTGCCACCTGCACCACCCCAACCGGGCTGGGGCCAAACTGCAACTGAGGTACCTGCCCTTAGCGGAAACCAACCCAGGACTCTCTGGTCTGCAGGCCGATGCTCTAACCGCTAAGCCAAAACGGCCAGGGCTGGGGGTGTATTTTTAACATTTTTTTTCAAATCTGCTGTGCCCAGGTGGCTCAGTTGGTTGGAGCGTTGTCTGCTTTACCAAAGGGTTGCAGGTTCTATTTCTGGTTAGGGCACATACCTAGGTTGCAGGTTCAATCCCCCAGGTTGGGGCACACAAGGAAGCAGCTGATAGGTGTTTTTCTCTCACATTTATGTTTCATTCTCTCCCTTCCTCTCTCTCTAAAAATCAATTTTTTAAAAATCCTTGAGTAAGGATTAAAAATTTTTTATTGAAACATTGTTCAGATCTAAAACTTTATTTGGTTCTTTTTTAAATTTCTTTCTTTTTTTTTTTTTTTTTTTTTAATCCTCACCCGAGGACATTTTTGCATATATCTTCAGATAGAGCAGGAGGAAGAGAGAGAGAGAGAAAAACATCGATGTGAGAGAGACAGATTGACTGGCTGCCACCCACACAACCCCAACCAGAGCCAGGAAAAAACTGCGACCGAGGTTCGTGCCCTTAGCGGGAACTGAACCCTGGAATCTCTGGTCCACAGGCCGACACTCTAACCACTGCTCAGGGCTCATTTTTTATTTGCAGTTCACATTCAATATTATTTTATATTAGTTAGGTGTACAGCATGGTCATTAGACAAGCACATACTTACAAAGTGTTCCCCTGATATTTCCAGTACCCATTTGGCACCATACATAGTTATCACAATATTATTGGCTATATTCCCTATGCTGTACTTTACATCCATGTGACTATTTTATCACTACCAATCTGTACTTCTTGATCCCTTCACCTTTTTCACCTAGCTCCCCAAGCTCCCTACCCTTTGGCAACCATTAATCTGTTCTCTGTGTCTATAAGTCTGTTTCAATTTTGTTTGTTTATATTGCTTTTTAGGTTTCACATATAAGTGAAATAATATGGTATTTGTCTTTCTCTGACTGACTTATTTCACTTAGCATAATACCCTCTAGGTCCTCTATGCTGTTGCATATGGTAAGATTTCATTCTTTTTTATAGGCAAGTAATATTCCAGTGTATATATGTATCACCACTTTTTTACCCACTCGTCATTGATGGACACTTGGGTTGCTTCCACATCTTGTCTATAATAAATAATGCTGCAATGAACATAGAAGTAAATATATTCTTTCGAATTAGTGTTCTCAGCTTCTTTGGATATATACCCAGAAGTAGAATTGCTGGGTCACAAGGCAGTTCCATTTATAATTTTTTGAGGACTCTCCATACTGTTTTTCATAGTGGCTGCACAAATCTGCATTCCTATTAACAGTGTATGAGAGTTCCCTTTTCTCAACATCCTCAACAACACTTGTTTGTTGACTTATTGATGATAGCTATTCTGATAAGTGTGAGATGATATTTCATTGTGCTTTTATTTTGCATTTCTCTGATGATTAGTGACATTGATCATCTTTTTATATGTCTTTTGGCAATGTGTATGTCCTCTTTGGAGAAGTGTCTATTCATAAGGATGCATTTTCAATTATATTATTTTAACAATAATATTAATCCCTAAATTTAATGAACTTAATGAGCACTTACTATAAATCAGTCTTTTTTTTAACCCTTACCTGAGGACATTTTTTAATTTTTGTTCAGTTAGAGTGGGAGGGAGAGAGAGGAAGAGAGAGAGACAGAAACTTCGACGTGAAAGAGACACATCGAGCCCTGGCCGGTTTGGCTCAGCAGTTAGAGTGTCGGCCTGCAGTCCAGAGAGACCCGGGTTCAGTCCTAGCTAAGGGCATGTACTTTGGTTGCAGTTTGTCCCCGGCCCTGGTTGGTCGTGCGGGTGGCAGCCACTCAATGTATCCCTTTCACGTCGATGTTTCGCTCTCTCTCTCCCTTCCTCTCTCCTCAGGGTAAGGATAAAAAAAGAGACACATCGAGTGGTTGCCTCCCACACGAACCCAATTAGGGCCTGGGACGAACTGCAACTGAGGTATATGACCTTGGCCAGAATGGAAACCAAGACTCATTGGTCTGTGGGCTGACACTCTAACCGCTGAGCCAAACCAGCCAGGACTAAACAAGGATTTTTGAATGAGGTAATGCTTACTTCAAGAGCCAACCAGAGAAGAGTGGAGTGATGTAGGTAGATTCTCAAGGGACCAACATCTGCAAAAGAGGAAAAGGGGCAAAGCCCCCTGGAAGTAGGTACCAATGGCAAAGAATAGGCTGGATAGAAAAACAAAGGCCAGAATGTTGTATGCTATACCAATGTAGACTATATTGGAGAGTGTCCTAATCAAAGATAGGTAAGAAGGGATATTGTATTTATCTAAAAGAACTGATGGTGGCAAATTTGATGAATTCAGTGAATATTCATGATATTGCTGTCATTGCAATGTAAGGATGAGGTGTAGATAGATATACGAGAGTAATGTCATCCCAGGATCCTTGGGCAATTTTTTTGATGAGTTTACATTTACCCAGTTACTACTTTAACCATAATACTCAAAAGACTCAGTAAGTAGAACTCAGAATAACTGTGGAACTGTCTATACTGAAACTAAGTCCTTAACCTTGATGTTATTGGAAGCTTTGATTGAAAGAACTAACCTCAGTACCATAAAGATAAACCAAAGGAACATCTTACATTTTATGACTTTACAGACATTTTATAAGCATAGTACTCATTTTAATGTAAAATCATAACAATAGAATTTATTATTTAAAACTAATTGGAGAAGAAGATGGCGGCGGGCAGGACCAGAGGGAGAGCGAGTGTGTGAGAGAGTGTGAGTGGACGTGAAGGCGGACGACCAAACCCGAGCAGTGCAGAGATGCAGAGCAGAAGGTTCCTGTGCTGTGGACTGGAGCAGCTGGCTACTTGGCAAAGTAGCAGGATACAAAATTAACGTCAAGAAATCATCTGCATTCTTATACACCAATGATGAACTCACAGAAAGAGAAACTGAAAAAACAATCCCATTTACCATCATGGCAAAAAAAATTAAGATACCTAGGAATAAACTTAACCAAAGAAATAAGGAACCTATTCACAGAAAACTTCAGGTCATTGAAAAAAGAAATAGAGGAAGACATAAAAAAGTGGAAGCATATACCTTGTTCATGGATTGGAGAATTAACATCTTTAAAATGTCCATACCACCAAAGCAATCTATAGATTCAATGCAATCCCCATCAAAATACCCATGACATACTTCACAGAACTACAACAAATACTTCAAAAGTTCATATGGAACCAAAAAAGACCTCGAATAGCCACAGCAATCATGAAAAAGAAGAACAAATTTGGAGGGATCACGTTACCAGATTTCAGGTCATACTACAAAGCCACTGTAATCAAAATAGTCTGGTACTGGCACAAGAACAGGCATATAGACCAGTGGAACAGAACAGAGAACCCAGAAATGGACCCAAGACAATATGCTCAATTAATATTTGACAAAGGTGGCAAGAGCATACAGTGGAGTAAAGACAGCCTCTTTAATAAATGGTGTTGGGAAAATTGGATAGCTACATGTAAAAAAATGAAACTAGACCATCAACTTACACCATACACAAGAATAAACTCAAAATGGATAAAAGACTTAAATGTGATCCATGAATCCTTAAAAATCCTAGAACAAAATGTAGGCAACAAAATTTCAGACATCATACGCAGCAGAATTTTCATTGATACATCACCTAAGGTAAC